TTGTCAGATGCTTCTGTCTTTGAGCTGAAACACAGGCTGCAGTTGGACAGTGGATTGTTTGATGGTAAATTCAGCTCAGTCATGTTGTCCCAAAGCGTTGCTCTGTGAGGAAATGCCTCTCTCCAGACCTTGGTGTGAGTATATGATTTAAACAGGGAGGTTTTGGGAGGGTCCCAGGCTGGAGAGTAAAACTTGTGTTGGTACTGTGGATGATTTACCCCGAGGATTTAATCAAACTGACGAATATGGAGGTGTTTTAGGACCAGGACTGTGGAGGTTTGTTGCTGCATCAGTGACCTTAGAGTAGCATGGATTTGCCACAAATCAGATTCCTGTGATGTCTGGTCATGGGGGGGACTGTCCTCTCTGTGACTCCTTTTCTTTCTGTGCCCTACCTCGTAGGGGAATTCAAAATCACAGCCAGCTTTTTGCAGCCACTTGTAGCTTGGTGGACACTGGTGGGTTGTGCCATGGCCAGAGGGATCAGCCCTGGACCGAAGTGCCACCACCCCGCAAGGATGCAGTCAGACAGGCACAGTGGGACTGGGTCAGCCACAAAACTCCTCAGTGTTGCAGTGCTCCTGCAAACATGAGAAATGCCTAGAAAAATCCAGGGCTCTTGACCAAGGTCTGTGGTGTGAGTGCTTGCTGTGGTCAACAGCAGCCTGGTCTTCTTCAAAATCCACATTTGAGTGTCCATGTCAGTCTGGTCTCACATGGGTGCTGACCTCCCTCCCAGCAGACACGATGGATGTGCTCTCCTTTCCAGATTGGACATGCTCCTCTTGCAGGCTTTGCAGCATTAGAATGCAGATTCCCTTTGCCTTATTTAGTTTTAGGAAAAAAGCGATTTGTTTTGTCTATCCATGCAAGTGCCAGAAATGTAAAATTTTAAAAAGCCTTCCCAGAAATCTGCTTTCTTTTAAGAAAAGAGCAGTTGAAATTGTAATTCTTCTCTCTTACTGTCTGATGAATTGATTATCACCTCGGTTTAGTGCCCAAAAGTGGGTTTTGCCTTGCTTAAAACAGGGAGATTTTTTCCTTTCATCTGCTGCTCCATGAGTTCCTATCAGAGTCGCGGTTAAAGAAGTTAATACCCCTGAGTATTTCTGCAGATTGCATCATTGCAGTGTTTCATAACGACATGGCAAAAGTAATTTGAAACAGATAACAATAGTCCAGTCTGTTTCAGGATAACCATGATTTCCTTGTCATTAAGAGGTCTGTTAGCGGGTGGAGGAGGAGGAGGAGTTTTATCTGGATGAGTTACAGATCATATGGTGTGATCAAGTGCGGTTTTTTTTTTCTTCCCCCTCTTTTCCTCCCCTTGAAATCTGCAGCGCTGGACTTGGGTTTGGATATGAAATGATTGGATAGTTTCAAACTCCTGTCTGCACAAAGCAGCTCAGAGCTTCCAGATGTTTTCAATAAGGAGCCCAGAACTGTCGCATCAGCAGCCGGTGGCCGGGGCTGCTGCTTGCATCTCCTCTCCATTTTGAGCAGCTTGCCCCCAAAAATAGACAATTATTTACTTGTTAGAGTAGGTTTTTTAAAATTTAATCTTTATTTTCTGATTGTCTGTTTCATTGTGTTTCAGAGCATAAATGCTATAGACTGTCTAAACACTTGTATGGCATTCAAGGACTGCCTTAAATAGCTGGACAAAAGAGTCTGGAAGCTTTTGTTCTGCTCCGTCCGGGCTGAGTCGTGTTCTGTGTGTGCCCAACAGTGCTGCGTAGATGGCAGGCTGTGTGCAAGGCAAGATTTCTAGCCTGAAACAATGCAGCAAAAGCCCCACCTAATGTGAGAAGAGAGTGATGGTCTCCCATGGGAGAGTGTGTCTGGCACATTATCTTCTATTTGTTTATAATATGTTTCCCCCAACCCCCAGCAGTAAAGTCTGGAAATGGAGATGCACTTTGGGTATCTGTAGCTGTCCCTGACCCCCTGATCTTTGCTGTGAGTCAGGAACATAACTACAGAAAAAACTCTTAGAACAAATTAGGGCTTTAACATATTTAATTAAGAAAGAAAAAGAGTAGGGAGAGGGGTTATTTTTTCTTGGTGTGTGTTGATTCTTTCAGTGTGTGGCTGAAGGTGTAGGGAGTCGAGGAGATCAGCTGACAACCTTTACTAGATCTAGACATATAATTAAAGAGGAAGGCAGGTCATCATCTTGATTCACAGGACATGCACCAAGTGCTGGGATATCCACCAAGTCCTGGGACCCATCCTGTGCCCAGAGTCACCCAGCCTGGCATGGGTCTTGAAGCTTCCCTGGCTGCTTCTCTCCACCTGTCTGCACCTTCCACATGAGCTTTCAGTTCCCTGCTGCCCCATGAAAGCCCACACTGGGTTACTTGTGGCTTTTGGCCATCCCAGGATGATTGTGCATAGCTCAGGAAAATTTGCCTCCTGCTGTGAAAGCTTCACATTTCCCTTCTGTCTCCCTGCTGCTTTGACTGGAGATGTTTTTCATTTCCCCTTACCTGCAAGAAGGGTGACGTAATGTGAGCCACAAACGAGTGGGTGTTGATGCAGCTACAAGTTGGACCCATCTTGCATCTCTGTGGAAGATGCACTGTCACAGTTAGTGATGCTCACCTCCTCTGCATGGTGGCATTCCTTGAGCTCTGCAGCTGGACATCTCTTTCAGGTTGCCAGGGGAACTCTGTGGATCAGAGGTGAAGTGCTTTAAATGGAGTGTCTGAGCAGAGCTGTTCAGTTGTTGTTAGGATAAATCTTGGCTGGGTATACCAGCAGCTGTGATCAAATTGATTTGAAAACAAATCTGTCTGCTATATCAGTTTAAAAATAAATGCTCCATAATGAAACATTAGAGCATCATTAAGATACTGACTGTTGCAAATTCCTGCACCTGAACTAAATTCACATACTTTGTTTATGGGTTCCTGTCTTGTAAATTTAGATTTGAGGAAATCCCTGCCTTTTATGGTAGTGTTTGAAGTTTGGAATGCTGTCATAGCCATTTCTGATTCCTCATCTCGATGGGCACATGACTGCTGGGACTCATTACTTGTGGAGAAAACTGGTGGCTCCAGAAAGTCCCCAAAGTACGACCACATTGTGTGTGTCCTAATACTGAAAGCAGAAGCTCTGCTCGTTGTTGGAGAGAGCAGAGTCATTGGCTGAGACCTGGAGCCAGGGATTGTAGCTGTAAGACAGCCTCATAAGAGGAATCCTCCTCAGTTCAGCTGGTGGTGTGCTGGAGATGAAGCTGTGGGATCTGAGGGAGAGACTGGAGCAAATGAAAGGGAAGTGTGGGGAGGCTCTGGCGCTGACTAGGTAAGAGTGTGCCTGTGTCCCCCACCAGGAGCAGCTCATCTGCTGTGAGTCCCAGCCTGCTCCAGAGCCTGAGGACACGCTCAGATGCGAGGCCCCAGGCTGAGCTTTGTGTCAGGGCTGCCCGCTGTGTCATCAAGGGTCAGGAAAAGCTGCCCTTCACTTGGTTACTGAGGCTGCTAAATCTGTGGGGTAGCTGTGCTTTTGTGTAGTCTGACTGTACAGATTGGGGTGTCACATCCAGGAGCTCACAGTGTGTGGTGGTTCTGTAAACTCCTGGTTTTCGGTGTTTTACTGAACAGGCACGGAGGGGGATCGGTTCCTGTGTTACAGGCAGGCTGTGGTGCAGTGTGTTCGGGCACTCAGAGGACTGGGTAGCACTGGGAGGAGAGAAGCTGGAGTGCTTGCTTGCAGCAGATGTGTTTCAGTCTCCTTTGGAAGACTCATCTTACATTCAAATGCCAAGAACTTGTGTTTTATCCATTCCAGTAGGCTGCAGGGTTTGAGTCACCTTTGCCAGAGTTTGAGCTGGTGGCCACAAATCTCCTTATACAACCAGGGAACCGGGACCACCCTACAGGACTGGATGAAAAGACCTACAACCCCCTAACTAAGCTCCAGGAGTGGAGCAAATCCCAGCAGCAGGAGGTGGGCCAGTTCTCCCGGCGCTACCAAGGGTGGCTGTTGGAAATTGGCAATTAAACCTCGGGTTGATATGTTCTGCATTTTCTGCTTTACAGCTTGGGATTAAAAATTGCTGCATTCTCAGCTTTTCCATCTAGCAAAGCAGCAAGTTCTGGTCACTACAAACTCTCAGACTCCAAAAACTCTGCTTCCCCTTTTCTTCTCTTTTTTTTTCCTTTCATTTTGAGTCGCCCCCATTCCCTTTTGAATTGGTGAATGAGAGAATGTCTAAAGCCAGGGAAGTATGGAAAGATTTCATCCCTGGAGAGGTCAGGGTGGGGTGGAAAGCGGAGGGGGCTGCAAGGGGGCAGTTTGAAAACAGGAAACCATGTGGCAGTGAGCATGCAGGGCCCAGCTGATGTGAATGAGCTATTGAGAGCAGAGAGACTTGCACTGGCCCCGGCATTAGAAAGACAAAAAACTTTAGGGTTGTTTTTTTTTTTTTGTCCCCAAGAAAAAAAGCTCTGCCTTTCAGGCCAGAAGAGAAGAGGGAAGATTGTATTTTCTGGACAACTGGTTGCTGAGATCTTTGTGTTGCAAACAAACCAAGAAAAAAGTAAATGGCTGATTTCCTTTTCTTTTCTTTTTTTTTTTTTTTTTCCATGTGCGTTGATTAAATCATAAGTTTCCATTCCTGATTTAGGAGAGCATTAACCTCGAAACTGTCTTTCATTCACCTGGCCTGGGGGAGTAGGAAGAGTCTTTTTACCTCTTGAAAAACACGTCCCTTTGCTCTCAGTCTTGTTTTGGACCGAGCAAACACACCAAGTGCCTGCAGCCAGAGGTGGAAGAGGCTGGCAAACTAAAGCTTTGCTTTTTCTTCCCTTGCTCCCTCCTCTTTTTTTTTTTTTTTTCTCTCTCTGAATCATGCTCCCACAACTGCAAAGTAAATTTGAAAGCTGGGAGAACACTGGTGCAGGACTAAAAAGGCAAGCAGTGACGTCTCAGCCCAAATCAGGAGGGAGTGGCTTTTTTTCATTATTTTCTTTCCTTTTCCCCAGTGCTGTCATTAGAAATTTAAACTTAACGCAAACCCAAGCCGTCTTGCCCGGTGAACAGTGAGCTGATTCGGAAGGAGGAAAGTACTTTTTTGTTGTTTCTTCTTTCAGTGCATGAGGGCGTGAAAAACAAAACACTTTGGTGACAGTATTTGCACTGGATACGGAGATTGGTTTTTTTTTTGTTTTTTATTTTTTTCCTGAATTAGACCCGTCGTGGCTGATCCTACCTTCTGCCTTTCCACTTGGAGCGTCAGTATTCCTGCTGCACACATCTGGCTTTTGTTCTCTTTTCAGGCAGGATTTTCATTCTGTTGCTTTTTGGATATCAAAGTTGTCTGGAAAACATTTTTTTTTTTATTATTATTATTGCTGTAACAGGAAGGCTGATACCATTCTTAGCACTCACAAAAAAAAATAATCCTATATGTATAAAGCTGTCTTCAAATATCTTTTGTTTGCTATAAGTTCCTGCATTGCCTGTATAAGCAAATCTGCTCCGAGAAGACTTTTATCAGCCGGGCGCAGCGCTGGGATTTTCGTTTTCCTGTTGAGAAGCTCGGGCAGGCTGGTGTGCTGAGCCACGGGGACTCCTCTGAGCACAGATGTGAGAGGTCTGGGGCTGTGCTCAGCCCAGGGTTCATGGTGGGCTCTGCTCCTCTGCTCCCGGCTGTTTGGACAAAATGTACGAGCGCCACAAGAGGCGATACAGCCTGTGCGACATTTCCAAGGTGGACAGGACTGTAGATGTTGTGTTGTTAAAGGTATGATGTTTGTATATATTTATTTATGGGTTCCTTTCCATATCTCCAGGGGATCAGTCTGTTCCTTGCTGTACTTGTGTCCCTCGGGATGTTGCAGAGGGGAGGGACAGGTGGAAGAGCTCTTGCCCTTCAGCATGGAGATGATTTTGAGTGTTATCAAACCATATCATGTCAAATATTATTATCTCTGCAACTAGTTCATCTCTTGTGGCATGCGCTCTTAGGGAGAGCTCCTTGGCCTTCTTCCCTGCCCTCTGCCCTTGAACAGTCCCTGGTTTGAAATCCCAGGTGGGTTTTTTGTGTGAGGGGTAAAGGGTTTCCATTTCCAATGCTTGCTTTTGAGGTTGAAAGGCACATGTTCCCCAAAAGATGCGTTCTGCCAAAAAGAGGCATGGTGGATCCTCCTTTGCCTCTGTTTTTCATTTTTGTTAGAAGGGTTACTGTCAGTCTTGTTGTTTGGGTGTGATTTTGTCTGAGGATGGGTTGGAGCAAGAATCAGGAGTGGCTCTTGGCTAATTGTCCCAGTGTGTTCCTCTCTATCTAAAATTAGCAAGTGCTCCACCAAATGGCACAATGGCAGTCTGGGAATGTCCTGTCTCTGTAACAGCTTTGTAGAGCTTCAGCAGTTTCCTGGCAGAGTGGATGGAAACAGGAGAGAAGCCAGAGGGACTGCAAAACATAGCCCAATTCAGAGATCTTAACTGCTGGAAGAGCATTTCCTTTCCCTCTCCCTTTTTCTATTTTCTCTTCTTAGCTGAAGCAGTATGATTCTACATGATCATATGGCTTCCTTTTTTATGATTTTTTGGTTCATGCTCTTGTTTCCAAGTCTGGACAAGAATATATAACAAATTTATTTTCAATTTATTCTTGTTCTACTTTATCTGCAGTAAAATAGACCTAGCTCTTGTTAACTTGCTTTGTTGTGAGTGGAAGTGTGTTCCTTTAATTCAATGAACCCACTGGTTTTTGGTGGCACAGATAGCTGTAAGTTGTTTTCTCTACCAGCTCAATTTTTTGGAGTATTTTAGAACTCTGATGTTAGTGATGCATGGGATTGAATCCCAGGATATTCAGTCTATAGACACAGTATGAGTCATTAAAAATGTTGTGTTGTGCACACACTACTTCTGCAAAAGGACTGCTTAATAATTCTTGGGAGGAGACCTGGTACCTCTGACAATCTTAATTGCCAATAAAAAGCACAGCCTTTTTCTTTATGAAGAGCATCTGAATGCGTGGGTTGAAATAAAATTCACTAGAATTATCCAACTTCAATATTTCTGATGTCACCAGTTCCTTACATTAGTTTTTGTTCAGCAAAGCTTAGATTTTATAACAAAATGTGGCTCTTGTTAGTTCCAACTAGTATTTTCCTAATTGAGTTTCAGAGCTGTGGGTTATACTGTCTGTTCCTGCAAATGACTCAGTGTCCATATATGTGTGCATGTGTGCACGCATTGCTGCTCCCAACATGGGCTGTACAGCCTGCAGATGTTTAAAATAGGAGGGTGCTGCTGATAGCTACAGCTACAATCAACTCTAGCTCGATTTTCAGTCATCCCTCATGTTTTTTTTCTGGTTTCTATAACATAACTGGTAAATGAAATTAGATTTTGATGATCTAGGGATCCAAGCCAGCGCTTGAGTGCGTCAGTGGCAGATCATCTCTTGACGTTAATGGGAGTTGGATCAGGCCCTTAATGAGGGAGCTGGGGGTGGGGTTTCTGTTGGGTTTGGTTTTCATTAAAATACTGAAATAAAACTGTACCTTATCTAGCCCATTTTATTTGGGGGAGTTAAGAGGACAGGGTTTCTTGACTATTGAAAAGCAAGTACATGTCTTTAGACAAAAGCAGTCCCAAATCGGATCCATCAGGAATGCTTGAGCTGATGAAATTTTAACAAGATACCTGCAAAAGCACCAAACAGCTTTCAGTTTGGCTGCAGGTTCACTCAGACAAGCTGTCATTTCTTGAGTAGGAGATTAATATGTTCTTTGCTTCATTTTAAGATAGACAAGTCAGTAACCATAGAATTGTTTAGGTTTAAAGGACCCTTAAGACCATCGAGGCCAGCCATTAACCCAGCACTATCAAATCCACCTCTGAACCATGTCCCTCAGTGCCACGTTTGTGCATCCTCTAAATACCTCCAGGGATGGTGACTCAGTCATGACATAGGAAAGAAAACCAGCTGCTGAAAAAGGACAGCGGGAACAAGTGGTGAAGCAAGAAGATCTTATGCCATTTTGTGTATTAAATGTTTATAGATGAGATTATATTTGAGTTGATTACATTCATTCTTAAATACAGTCGCAAAATAATTTTTGGTTCCTACCCATTATTTTGCAGTGCACGTGTCTTCTGAAGCACCACTGTCTTGAGGCTCAAATTTTCCATGTTTAGATTGAGCCTGAAACAGTGGCTTGTGAAGTTAGGAAAAAAATGAACCTCAGCAATTTTGAGGATTGATGCACACAATTATTTTTGGCTTTAGCATAGTTTCTTCCTCCTCTCCACATGTGAAAAAGCAAGAGGCAGCAGGTGGCCAGCAGTGTCCCAGTCCCTGTTGGAGCTAGGACTTCATCCTAGGAAGAAATTCCTTACTGTGAGAGACGTGAGGCCCTGACACAGCTTGTCCAGAGAAGTTGTGGGATGCCCCATCGCTGGAGGGGTCCAAGACCAGGTTGGATGGTGATTTGAGCAACCAGGGAAGTTGTGCCTGTCACTGGGAAAGGTGTTTGATTTAGATTGTCTTCAAGGTGCCTTCCAACCCAAACCATTCTATGATTCCATGATTCTGTGTCCTTTACTGGCTGCTGCAGCAGCGCAAACTTGATGAACTTGGATCCTGAACTTAGTGAACTTGGTGAAGACTGGATGATGCAGAAATGGCATAAAAATTTGCTGTCATTGCTCCTGCTGGGTTTGCGTTGTAGCAGATGAGGGAAGAGTTGTGGGGTGTGTGGGATGTCTGCTCATCTGAACATTTTGCTGAGCTCTGAGCAGCTACGTGCAGGGTAAAGCAGTCTGTGCTATGTTATTGCAAGCCCAAAATGGGAAGTCTCAGTGTGCCCATGTGTGCCTTGGCAACCCTGTCTCATTTTTATGTTGTGCCTGCTACCACAAATAAAACTATCTAGGGACAGGATAGGAGACCCACACTGGCTGGCACCTTGCAGATACATGTGAAGTCAGACAGGCGTTCAAGTGGGGACCAACAGGCAGTGCTTTACAGAGTTACAAAGTGAGAACTGGGCTTGCTTTGGGAATGGGAGACTGAGTAATCACAGCTGGGAATGCTTTCTAAGAGTGTTTGCCTATATCTGCATTTCATCTCTGTGTGTGAATGCTGAAGCTGTTAAGGGTAGGCATCAGGAATAAGCTTTTTCACAGCTGGGGCAATGAGGTTTGATTTTTCTGCTTTTCACATGAACTGATCCCCTCCAGCTCCCAGCTGAAGATCAGAACATTATTCATGAAATTAAAAACAGCATTAATAATTAGTGAAGGTATTTTGAAATTGAAAGGAGAGCACTATTAATTAGTTGTTGCGCTTCCTGGCTGCTCTGGTAGCTTTACTCTAGCACCAAGGAAGATCCTCTGGAATGATCCCTGCCTACCCAAGGCAAAGTGCCATTTACAGCATCCTAAGTACTATGTGCAGAAGTCCCCAAATTAAGTGAAAATAGGCTTCCTTACATTTTATGTTGAAGTTTCTCTTCTTTATTGATACATAAGCAAGTCCATTCCTTCTTTGGAGTTGTTCTGGGTAAAAGATGTCCCCAGGTGATGGATATGTGGTGTTCATCAATCTTTGTGGGCCTAAAATGACTGAGCTTTAATCCAACATCTGTCCATGCTGTTCTGGTCATTGAAGGACAGAATGAGAGAATTGTCTTTAGAATAGTACAGAGAGTTTTTGAGTTTTTCTGTCTCATGTAGAATTAGAACTGGGAAGGCAACTTAAATGGAATTATTGTGTTTTCACATTAGGCACATACATGTTTGTGGGAATTTTGCTCCCATATTAGTTAAGAGATGGGTTTTTTTTTTCACAAAGCCAGTGCTGTCACTTTTAAAGCTTTATTAAAGTCTGTTTGCTTCTAGTTTTTCTGGTGGAAGACATCCCAGTGCCACGGGCTGGGAAACGTACTTGGGGCACAGGTTCCTTTTCCCAGCTGGGACATTGCTGGGGGATAAATGCACTCTAGGAACTTAGTGTTGCTCTTGCACCATAAAGAGCTAATTTATTCAGTCATGTAACATGTCCTGTGCTTGTAAGAGCCTTTTTTGGCAAAAATCCTTTAATACAGTTTTCTATAATACTTCTGGCTTGTTGCTATGAGAGAGGTCAGTTTGGACCTCTTTGAGAAAATGTTCTGATATGGTGTCACCAACTCTGTAAAGGTAAGAGACTCAGTGTAGCATACTCAAAATGCTAGAAGAAAAATCTCCATAGAAATCATTGCAGAAATGCAAGTGTTGTCCTTTTTGGCATACTTTTGAGAATGTCATTGTGTTCTGCAGCCACCTGTTAATAACCTCCCCCAAAGCTAAGAAACTACACAGGGAGATTACCAAAATAATTTAAATAAAAAATAAATGTGGAGTTTGCAATGTCTGCTCTTAATATTGTCTGGCAAGATGATTGCCAAAGCAGTGATTGTTGCTCTTGATGTGAATTTTGTGTGTATGGAGTCTTTCTGCAGCAACAGATGTTGAAGGAAAACAGTGGAAATTCCTTCCCCAGATGCCCCATCCTTCATGCTCCTTTTCAAACTGTTTCAGAGGATCTTGAAAGGTGGTTTTTGTGAAGGGGGTAAATCAACTGTTGCTTTAGTTTCTAGTGCAGGAATTGCAGGCAACTGGATAATGTCACTGTAAATGGAATTGTGAAGTTAAAAGTTGGTCAGAATAAACATTGAGTATGTGTACAAATTTCTTTAATCCTATAGGAAAATTTCAGGAACAGGGAATTCCTAGAAAATAATTACAATATGCATAGAACTTTAAAAAAAGTCATTGTATCATTTCTGCTTATGAAAGAAATTAATTATAATTGAATTTAGTGTATTGCTTTTTTCTACTGCTTTTATTCTACATTGGATATTTAAAATGGATATTACTCAGTGTGGTGCACAAGTACTTAATGATACACTAAGCAAGCTACAATTACTCTCCTAAATATTTTCCTATGTGCAGTAGTATCTGGTTTTAGCTGCAAGGTCGATCATAGTCTGGAAGCTGGGGAAAATAAAAGGAGAAAAATGGAAACTTGCACATTTAAGACAAAGTTAAAATAATATGGTGGAAAGATGAATCTCTAGGGATCTGCTAGGAAATGAAAGTTAAAGTCATCTGGTTCCTTGTGCTCTGGAGATGTTGATTTATATCATGACCAGTGAGGCTGACAAGTGCAAACTTTTGCAATAGCAAAAGATTTCCTGAAAGGTCAGTGTGTTCTCTTTATTGTGAAATGGAAGGCAAGAAGAGTTAAAATAAAACCAGAGGGAGAGAAAAAGGACTTTTTCGTGCTGGAAATGTAGGAGAGGTACCCAGGAGCCAGGTAGTCCCTGGTCCCCAATCCTAGGGAGCCTCCAGCACACGGCTCTGCCCTAGATATTGTTGGAGTGTCCTTGAGGAAGAGGTCCCGATTCTGGTTTTATGGATCCACCTGGTTTTATTAGATCCATTATCTATTCCACCACACCAGAGTGGATTAGATAATTCCTTGTCCAAGACAAGTGGAGAGGAAGGAAGAGCCTGGGAGTGGAGTCTGGGGTCATTCACTGTTCCTGCAGGACAGAGGACACCTCAGCCCAGGGTGTCTCACAGCTGTCCAGCGCCGTCCTTTTCTCGTGCATAAAGTCACATCAAGTTTCAAGTTCAGAGTCCGTAGAAAGATGTCCCCGAGAGTCAGGAAATACTTGTGTGTGCCCAGAAAGATCACTGGAACCATCTGCTGCTCACAGCTCCAGCTGGTCCTAAAGGTCTCTTTGAACATTTCGCCTGCTGGTGTTTCACAGGCAAACAGAAAATCCTGCAGGATCCCGTCTTTGGTGCCTGGGGATGTGCGTCCATGATTCACTCTGTGTCTGAGCCTGCAGATAAACACATTGAGGCTTCTGTATGGAAAAATAGCTGGTTCTCTCCTGGCATTTCTTCAAAAGCTATGCATTGAAACTCTGTTCCCAGAGGCTGTTTCATATTCCCTCTGCCATTGGAACAGCACTGCCTGCTCTGCTCCTGCCGCAAAGACTTGGGATGCCTGGAATCAATGAGCTATAATCAGTGTGGGCAAGCAAGAAAGTGTGGGGCTTTTATCATCTTCTGTGGCCACCAGCCTGTGGTCCTGTTTTTGGGCTTCTCTCAGCAAAACAAGAAACTGGGGGGAAAAGGGAGGATTTTTCTCACATGCAATGCACACGTGTCTGCAAAATCCCAAGGCAGCCTCCTTTCAAATTTCTCCATACCGGTGCATTCCCCAGCTCCTGATGTTCAGGTGCTTTTATAAAGACAATTTCCTCTCCAGCTCTTACTGTCTGTACCTGTAGTCACTAGTCCTGAGTAAACACAAGCAGAATTCAGGTGTTGGGGAGGGATCCCAGTAGTCAGTGCTGGGCTGTGGATAGTGGGGTTTGTGTTTTGAGTATCTATGGACCACCCAGTTCCCTGTGAGCATGCAGTAAACCTCCCTCAAAGCCCGTCTGGGTTTGCTTTAGCCTAGGGAATACTTGTATATAGTAGTGGTTTCCTTTGTTTTTGTTTTGATGGTGATTATTATTTTTCCTGAATTGGGGCTACTGAGATAAATATTTAGTTTCTGTTGTTTTATTTTGTACATAATCAAGTGTATCTGAAGCAGCACCTTAAACCTCAGTGTTATTCTCTCATTACTTTTTTTAATAGAGAAAAGCAGACATTTTCAATACTTGGCAAAGCCACAGGGCTGAGGAGAGAGCTGGCTGGGAAATGGGAAAAATGCTCAAATCTTTTTTGAAAAAATGCCAATGTCTATAATGCATTTTCAGTGAATGACTCAATTGGTTCTATTAAAGGAAAATATATAATGTTAATTCAGCCTAATATGGCTTACTCAACAGACAGCTTGAACCTCTTCCTATTTTGCTTTCTTACTGCTAATTATTGAATGGGATGTTTAATTATTGCTTTCCAGTAGTGGATGTCATTATAAATCAGGAGTAGTTCCTTTGAATTTGATGGTGATTTGTTTAAAATTAAGAAGGGTCAGACTCTTCTTGAGGAGGAAGGTGGAAGTGTAAGTCAGTCAGAAGGAGGCAGAATTTGATTTTGTATCTGAAATGGGTCATTCCTTCGTTTGTGTGGACTTGAGCACATTTGCATTTGTCCTTCTATGTGTGTTCAGCCCCAACCTCTAGATTTGCCTTTAATAAGATATAGAAAAGTGTGGTGCCAATTTATTTTGCTTTGTCTGGAGAGAAAAGAATAATAGCATGATGTTTATTGACTTTACAGTCATAAAATGGTGGTATTTATTGACTTTGTAGCTCTTTTAAGACTAAAATAAGAAAAAATTCTGTGGTCAAATTTAGATGCTGAGGTTAGATACCACACAGCCTTGCTGAGAACAGGGAGTGTCTTCTGTTGAAAGAATCAGAACGTGTCCCGCTGTCCATGCAACAGTTAAAATGCAACATCCTTATGTCGCTTTGGAAAGCAAAAAAAAATAATGTTTTGAAGTTCTGCTTACAAATCTTTTCTCAGCCTCTCATTTAATATAGATGTGTTGTATGTAAAAGGGAGCAAATGGATATACAGGTGTGTGTGGAGCAGAGATGTGCAGGGAACACTGGGATCTTAGATGTGTGTACATAAAGGGGTGTGCTGGGGTCTCAGGTAATATCTGTATACAGCAGTAAGTGCTATGAAGTATACACCATCCCTAAGAAAAATAGCTTCAAAATTCCATGGAGGTGGGAGGGACATCCAGATGGGACGTGCTCTGAGGTCACCCCGAGACCTGACTCTGGTAGAGCTCAACATCATCTTCACTTTGGGGAGACTTCTGCTCATTTTTCCCCTCTCAGAACTTCTCTGCTCATTCCCTCTCTCTGTCAGCAGGAGCTGCTGACTGGGGAAGGTCATGGCATGCTCTCCACTGCAGGGTTTTAAGGGCAGGTTGGATTAGTCCCTCTCAGATGATAACTGAGCCTAACTTGGCGCAGCAGGCAGGGACTGGCTGACCCGTCAAAGGCCCTCCCAACCCCGTTTTGTCATCGCACAAGTATGGAGGAGAACAAAACCTGAGGAAGAAAAATGTGCTGTGGCAAGTGGCTGCCAGGTCTGGGGGAGTGTGGGGTTGCCTGTGTGGTGTGGGGAGCGGGAGGTGAGCGGAGGTGCTGGCAGCAGCCCCTCGGGTGACGGGGACGCAGCCAGGGCGAGGAGGAGCCAGCCAAGGACTGCTGTAACACATTCCATGATCTCAGTGACAGAGGAAACAAGGACGTGGGTCATTAGTCAAAGCGGCACATCAGGTCAAGGGTAGGAGAGGCTTGGTTTTCATTTACTTAAAAAATAAATAATAAGGAGGCAAAACCAGTGCGTTTCATAACACAGGAGAAAGGAGAACGTTGAGGGGATGGGAATACAGCAAGAGACTGCAAAACTAGAGTGGGATCATGGGGGAGATTTGAACAAGGTCAGAGGCAAAAAGTAAATAGTAAAAATTTGATATTTGAAAGGGAGGAAAGGAAATTATTTCAGGAGATAAAAGGAAAGCCAGAAAGAGGGTAGGAGAAATAATTGACATATAAAATCAGGCTAAGTCATCCATTTCAGTAGCTTTCTTACAGCTACAACTTAACATGTGAGATCCTGTGTGTTGGGGCAGGTCAGGAGGGGAAATAACTTCTGGGTTTTGTGCTGTGGGACAATTGAGATTTTCATGCATTTGACAGTAACTAAAGACATTTGGCTCAAAGAAATGGCAGAAAGAGTAAAGGGGCTCCCAGAGTCTGCCAGCTGCAGTCAAAAGTGATGGAAGTGAATGTTGGATGAGCCAATGGTTGTGGATAGTCCAGCAGATTTGAGTCAAAATGCTGGACAGCACAACCCAAGTGAGGAAGATGAAAGCACAGGCAGAGGGAGGAGGAGGCTGAGAACACATCAGTTATTCTTGCTGAAAGACTGGGAGTCATGGAAAGGGTGAAGGACGGGGTGAGGTGATAAGGGCTGATGTTGAAATAAACCATGTGATGTGTCTTAGTGTTAAAAAGGGTGTTTCTATCATCATCAGTGCAGTTAATGCAAGCCCAAAGTGCTTCTGCTTCTCACCATGACCTGGGCACCTCCCAAGCCCTCAATTCCACATCACTAGAGCACTTTTATATCTCTGAGCTAATTATCTGTACAGCAATATGGGTGGTAAGGAATTCCTATTCTGTAGGTGGTGAACTGAGGCATAAAGCAGAAGAGTATTTTCTTGCAGTCCCGCTACAGGTGGAAGTGGGACTTGAGGCCAAGGTTATCCAGTCCTCTACTAGTAGCTTAAACACTGACTCATCCTCCCTCTGAACTCCTTACTTGAGCAGGAGCCACCTTCAAATCAAACTTTCCATGGAGAAATAAAGGGTTTTGGCATATTCTAAAGGTTTGTTTAGTGATGCAAAAAAAAAAAAAAAAAAAAATCGTATGTTACTTTTGACATTTTTATTATTGGGAAAAATGAAGCCATAACTCTGTATTTGCTGGTTGATGCAGAGGGACTAACAAGGGTGCTGGTGAGAATGGCCTTTCTCTGATGAGCTGTGATGTGTTTTCCAGATAAACCGCGAGAGCTGGTGTCCGCTGGAGCCATGTCCCGACCCCTCCCTGCTGGAGCGCAAGCGAACTCGGGAGTCTGCAGGTGAGCTGAGCACAGCTCCAGACCAGCAGCCCTCCTCCTCACCTTTCCAATCCCTCCTTTTCTCCCTGCTTTTGACATCCTGTCCCGGATGGGGAAAACACATAAATTAAAGAAACTGTGTAATGACTGTGCTGTGAGTCATTGTTAGCACATGGCTGCGGCACTTGACTAGCAGGGAGCTGTGTGGTGTGTCACCGTCTCAAATAACTCTGCATTTCAAGTGCTTCAGTATTTTGATTTTTCCTCCCCCCCCCCTTTTTTTTTTTCTATTTTTTTTACTAAATTAACTTGAAAGATGTTGTGGGGGGCACACAGACGTGGTTGCTAGCTAGAAGGATAATACGATAAAAGAAAAAAAGCCAGAAATTTGACCTCCTAAATCCATATTTAGTCCCAGATCAGTGGCTTGAGATTTTTACTTTCTTCCTTTCCCTCGTTCCCTCTGAAAGTTGCCATGATTCCAGGCTCAGGATGCAGGAAGGCTGTTCAGAGCCATGGTTCCCACACCCTGCCCGCTGGCTGTGCCAAGCTCCCATCCCAGCCCTGCGTGCTGGCTGGTGCTTTCTGGCTCTTCCACTGGGACAGAAAATCTAGTCTGGGCAAGCTTCAAAGAAGGGTTGGTGTCCAAGATAAGAAAAAAAAGCATTTTCTTTCACTGGATTATGCATGTTTGAAACAAAAAGAGTAATTTATCAGGGCCCTGAATAGGGACTTTGCTTCAGCTGCTCGTGGAGAGGAGGCTTCTTGTCCTGCTGTCCTTATGAGCAGTGGTCTCACCCAAATCTCCTTCAGTTTATCTGAGAGACTTGAAAGAAAATGGCTGAGTGTCAATGCAAAATTTAAACTCAGCCTTTTAGACTGTAGGCTAAGAAGAGATAGTGTGGGGTTAGTGACCTGAGGGGTTTATCCTAAATAGAAGTTCTAGCTCACATCAAAGTTAAATAATTGCTTTTTTATTAAAAACAAATGAACACGCAAACAAAAATACTGCCCTTTTTAGAAGAGTTATTAACAGCAATAGCTGTTTCAAGAGGTTTTTTTTACAGGAGAACCTGTGGTATTGCCATATCTCTTCTTTACTAATTGTATCTATGAATCCTTTGCCTCTTGATACAGTATTTTTATGCTTCAGGCAATAGTTACTGCAAACTTTTTGTCTGCAAAACAACATGGACTCATTTGACTTCCAAATATATAATCAGATATTCCTACATATCACTATCAGTTGCACACCTATTAATTATCTAATGCAATACTACACTATAGAAATATAATATTAATTATGTAATTAGGTAGCTGTATATACAGATTTATATTAATAATTACAGTAATACATGTCTGTAACAAAAGCATAAAGAGATAGATTTTTAAGTAAATGTGCTCTCCAGATGCACTGAAGCAGCAGAAGGATCTCAGGTTATGCAGGTTCTGGCCTTCCTAGAAATAATATTGTTACTGCACAGGCATCCTCCTGCTGCTCTGTGGTGCTGGGCAGTGTAGAGAGGGCAAGAAAAATCTGGCAACACTTAACAGCAATAAAACCACAAGCTGTCAATGTGGCTAACTTAAAAATAATGTACTTGATAAGGAATTAGGCCTTTTTCATCTGCTGAAATGACTTGCAAGGACAGATCTTTAAAGACAACTCCAGAAATTGTAGCTTCTCATTTTCTGTCTATGCTTTTGAAATTAGGTGTGCAGAGGAGTGTAGCAGATACGTAGTTATCAATATGGAATTGAAGGGCTCAGCCCTGGCTTGGAGGACACAAGAGTTTGGAAAATGTACAGACGAGATTGCTTGGAAATGTTCTTCCTAAGGCTTTTTTCTCTGTATTTTTTTTTGCCTTTATATCATGCACAAAAGTGTTGCCAGGGGTGTGGGACACAGAGCCTGGCTTTGTGCGGCGTCTGTGCAGTTCAAAACAAGCCCAGCAAAGTGAGAAAAGGGGAGGGAGAAAATGGAGAAAATATGCACACCTCCAACTGAAAATGAGGGAGAATGTAGGGAAGAGAAGGCTTGGGAATGAGTTTCTCAGCACAAATGAGCTGAGGTGTGTGGAGGGGTCCCCATCACCCTGCTCCTCATCCTTCCCCTCTGCTTCATCTTCTCTGCCCCTGGGAGGCTCCTGCAGAGGAGGCTTCACTGCCTCTCATGCTTTATCCTCAGGGTGAGATATCCATCCCTCAGCACATCTGAGCTGTCCCCACTGATTTTCCAGTGGAACGTGGCTGGAACCCCTTTGTTTTTCAGTCTGGGCTGTGGACATGCTGTGCTGGCTGCCAGCTGGATGAACAGCCCCTGGCCCGCGTCTTCACAGCCGCTCCGTCTCTTCTTTCCCTTCATTCCCCCCCTTCTTCTCTCCCCTCCCTTCTCCCCCTCGGTGATGGAAAAGCAGTTCAGATTTTCCAGGTTTACTGAAAGGGGAACAGGAGCAGCTGCAGCATCCAATAAGTGCTTTTCCAATTCTCTACAGTGTGGAAATTCCTCTGTGGGGTAATGGGGTTTCTGACTGGCTTCAACTCCCCCTGCCCTGAATGGGGACAGCCCCACCACTATCAGTGTAATGCTGTTTTCTCCAGATGTGGAGTCTCTCCCATCAGTTGGGATGTGGCTGGGGTGTTCTATAGCTGCTGTCAGGCACAGATTAAGGATGGGGAAGGTGAAGAGGTGACCTTAAGCTACTCAAACCTATCGTCCTTTTGCTAATGTTTAAGCTTGAATTGACCAAGGATGGAGTTAGTGAGGTATAATTTAAGAGTGAACTAATATTTTATTGCCCTGGCTCTTCTCCAGACAGCTGAGCACATTTTGGATCTGTTTAGTTAGAGGAGATGCAAAATAGCACCTTTCTTTAAAAAAAAACCAAACAAAACCAGAAAAGCTAAAAATTAGAAAATATTTTGAGCTGGGAAATATGAATGTTTTTCAAAATTGTCATTAATACTCTGGCCTGTGGGATGAACAAATAAAATATATACAGGCGTTTCTTAGACAAAAACTTATCTGTTAAAGGTTTTGGAAAGAGGGCTTTTGCAGGGGCTGCAGTCTAGTTCTGTGCTCCTGATTAACCCAGTGCAAACAGCTGGAAGCATTTGAGAAAACAAACAGATGCAAAATGGTTATATTTCAATGTAAGGAGTTACGAAAGCTGAGAGGTTTTTTAAAAATCATTTAATTTTTTTTGAATCTTGAAAAAGTAAAGCTTGTCATGGAATTCACAGTAGGGCTTTTTCAGTAAGGAGTGTAGAAGAAGAAATTAAATAATTTTCCAAATGTGCACTAAAAGCACCTTGGCATTTAGAGGGAATTGATTCTTTGAGAAAGAAAGCAAATATTGACAAGTTACATTTTTATATTTATTGAATATGAATCTAATTTTGCAGTTGTTGCAGTCAATAGGAAACATCCCATTATGCACTATATGGGTTACCTCATATGTAGTATATTTATCAGCACCTCAAGCTACAAGTGTTTACAGCTGTTTCATGGAGAATTTCACTTTACACCATGTACTTCAGTGATGCACTTCAAAAGGAGTTTTAAACTCTGGAATAAATCATTTGAGAATTCACAGGCAGTTTTGGGACATGAACAAATTTATAAAGCTTTATAAATGAAAGCTATATGATTTAAATCCTGGAATTCACTGAGAGAATGCAAGTCTGATGTGTGGATGCTGCAGAAAGCCTCAAGTTGTGACTTTTTGTGCTTTGCTCCTGCAGAATGTGAGAACTTCTTGGAGGATGGGCTGAGCAGCGTCTGTGCCTCGTCACAGGGTGGTCTTAAACGAGAGTCTGGGAGTGAGTCTGACCTCTTCCCCATGCCTGGCGATGGGATGGAAGACCTTGTCTTTGGGAAGGTAAGAAAGCCTGGTTGGGATATGGTTAAAAAAGCCTCTGATAAACCCATAGAGCACACACAGATCATCTTGGTTTCACTGGTGAGCTGGAAACCTGGAAGTGATTATCCTGGAACCAAATAGATGGGAAGGATCCGGTCTCCTCCTCGGATGCAGCAACATGAGGGATGTATTTACTTGCAGCAGAATTCCAAAAGCTGTGCAGCCCTCAATGGTTAAAAACATGGAAGTAATTTTGTCTTTCCAAAAGTAAATCAGGCACCAGAGGAACAGTTGAAAAGGTGGATTTTCTTGCAAGGTCATTAGGGATTGCACAGACGATATGAAATCCATCTTTAACTCATGTAACAAAGAGCTTTTCTCCAGCAAACTGTGACCTCTCTTCTGACACCTTCAGATTTATATGCTGTAATTCTCAGAGGAACCAGTGTTTTTCTGTAAATGCAGTGTCATAGGAAGGAAACAGTCATTCTAAATACTTCAGGCCAATTCCAGGGAATAGTTTTGTTGCCTAGGTGACATACCTCTAATGCCTGTTTGCGTGCAAGTAGAATTAAAGTGTTTTTAAGTTTGCTTAAAATCAACAACAGAAGTCATTGCTAACCTTAGTCATCCCTGTACGCTTTGTGCTGCTGAGGAGTGGGAGAGACATGAGAGACAGAGCTGGCCTCCTGAGCAGAGGATGCCTTCCTTTGGCATCAGTCTTTTGCATCTACGTCAAAGCAGCCTGAATTTATTCAGGGGGTCATCAGGTTTTTGCTCTTAAAGAGTCATCTTGCTTGTAATTTGTATTCTTGGCATAAGCAGATGATGAAAGAGCACCCAGAAAGAATATAGTGAAGTAGAATCAAAAGGGATGTGACCCTTCTTTAGAGCAGCCATCACTGTGGTCTCCATGAAAACCCCACTCCTTGGTTCAGCTGCAGCTCATAGGTTTGAGCAGGCACAGCTCCTACTCTGAAAAACTTAACTCTCAGAGTAGCTTTCACACTGGCTTTCTGAGAAATGTATTGAATTGAAGAGAATTCCGTTTGCTGAAGTCAAATCAGATGGTGGTGAATATTTTCCAGCAGGATGGGAAACACCACAGCCCAGGCTAAATGATCTCATGTGCTATAAATGAACAGTAAAGTCATCCTTAATGCATGTGATAGGGCACAGAGCTCACCAGCCTCACCCTTTCCCATCCTAGTGTCAAAAGGATCTGGGACCCTGGATTGTCAGAGTACAAGGCTGTTTGGCAGAGCAGGCTGTCTTCAGTTCCCTTGTGTAGAGTGACAGGGATTGCGACAGCCCGCTGCCATTTGAGCCTGATGTAATGCTTGTATGGGAAAGTGTGGGAGAAGGGTGCAGTGGGAACACAGCAAATTTTATATTCTACAGAATTTTAGCTTTTTCCCTTTTCTTAGGTGGAAATTTTCCTTCTCCAAATACCAGAAAGAAAGATTAAAATGTAACCAGAATAGGTAGAGCAGTGCAGCAGGGATGCCACAGTGAAGGGAGGAGGTGGTGGGGAAAGCAGGGCTTCAATTGCCAGTGGAGAGTGGGCAGAGGCAGGAATTTTTTTGCTTTGTTGAAAGGGAATTTCTTAATTTAGTAGCCTTTGCATTGTTCTCATTATGCAGTGAGTTGCAGACTTTGTCTTCAAATGGCTTGAAAAGGTTCCTGAGTTGAGTTTAGGAAGTTATTCAAAGCTAATCTCAACTTCAGTTGCTTTGCGTTTGTTTTCCTGACCAATTTGATTCCTTGTCTTTCTCAGGATTTATCTCAGTATTTTTTCTGCAGTTAAAGTTATTTCTAACAGATTAGAAAAACTAATTTAGTGTTGTGAGCTTTTTCCTTAATTAAATCTATTTGGTTTTACAGTACTGACTCCAGGTGGTAGAAATGCAAATTATAGATATTTTTAATGATCACCAAAATAAGTGGTGGCTGTAATCTTTTTTCTGAAAAATATTGTAAGAAACTTGTCTTGGCTGTAGTTGATCATTTATAAACCTATGAAATAGTACAGTTTCTGTATCAAACTGGGAAGAGACAGAATATGTTTATGAACAAAAAGAGGATCTCAAACCTTTCAGTGTCATGGTGATTATTGTTATTGCTAGTTTTGTTCTTGTTTCCCCTTTCTGTGGAGAAAGAGTTGAACTTCTGTCTACTAGAGTTGGTTTTGGGTTTTTTATTGTAGAAATAACTACTTCTATGCTAACTGCTTAATGCATTAAAATAAATGTAGGAATAGCAAGTTGCTGTCTGTCCAGGGTCTTTGTGCTGCTTCCTCAGACATCACTTGAAATTCAGAATTTGAAAACCCTGGTGGTTCTGTCCCGGGACCATGAAGAATTTGGGTCTGTGAAGTCACAGGATCTGCAGGTGCCTCACCCTGTCCCTGGTGTTTGCTGTGTGCTCCTCTTCCATCTCCTTCCCTTCTCCTGTGCTTGTTTCATTTCTTTCTCTGAAGGATGTGTGCTGAGCTGTGGAACATGAGCTCTTGGGTTCAGGGAGCTTTAGCACTAAAACCTGCCTGTTTTGTCAGACTTTACAGGCTGTCAATGAGATGCAGAAGTTGTTTCCAAGTCTATGGCTTCAGCAAAACGTTTAATTTTTTTTGCATCAGCATTCATTCCCATGTCCTCGTCATCCTGCTTTTCCCTCTCTGTCCCAGACAGCCATCTGGGCAGGCTTTGCAGCAACCTCCTTCTTGAATGATTAATGCTGCATAAGGTCATTTCTCACAGTCATCTGGCAACATCCTGGGGTGGAGCCCACATGCTTTGCTCATCTTAACTTTTAACCAGCCACCGAAGTCCAGCGTTACTGGGAGGCTTTTTAATGTGTCTCTTGGGAAATGATTCAGCTGAAGGGAGTCAGGAACCCACAGATCATCACCAAAGGAAGGGATTGCAACTCAGTCTTGAACATTGTTTAATTTCTGCCTTTGTTTCGGTTTGCTCAAAGAAAAGACACAAAAACATAAATGTTTTGCTTTTTTTTTTTCCCCAGAGTTGTATCTCTGGGGAAAAAAAAAACCAAAAAAAACCCAACAGCTGTGCAAAAAACAAAACAAAACAAAAACACCCAAAGGAATAAAAAATTTAAGGAAAAGGCTTTCACCTCCACTCCAAATCATAAAAGTTATGATAAATAATTAATAGAAGGCCACTGTTGAAGTTAATTTTAAGGAACCTGGAGCCACGGGCAAATCCAAATAAAAAATTGCTCTGCTGGATTATGTATATCAAGCCAACTAAAGGTGTTTGCTCCTTTAGTGGAATGGTATTCCAAATAGACTTCAAGATTCCAAGGTTTAATTTTTTTCATCTTCTTTTTTAAAATACTCTAACACCTTTAATGTCTTTGAAGGTCAGGGGACAGAGAAAGTTTGCCTCAGCACTTTGCATGTTGTCATCGTGGAAATGATTGAAAGAACATTTAAATTCCCCTTATCAAGACCTCCTACAGTGGAGGGATTTATCTTATACCCCCACCATCCCAGTGATTTCTGTTGTCCCTATTCATGGAGAATTACATGTGTTCTTTCTCAGAATGCTCACTTTTGCACCTTATCTTGTTTTTTCTTAGAAGCTTCTTGGCAAATACTGAGGGCAGAGAAAATGCCTATTAGCAAACATCTGTATAGGCTCTTTTTGGCCACGAGGTTTATGGTCACAGTTATGCCCTGAATTCATTGAGGTGCAATCCAGCAAGCCTAACTTGAAGAAAATTAGTATTTCTTTAATATTTCCTTTTTCCTGTAAGAAAAGAGCTCATTCTGTTCTTCAAACATGATATTTTCTTCCTCAAATAGGATTAAAGAGCAATGCATATTTACTGGCCAGACAGCTAATTTTTTGCAGTGGTGACTACAATATAGATGTTTTAGATGTGTCAGCCATGCTTGGCATTTTTCAGACAGAGTCGTCTTTCATATTAACTGTTCTCCTTTGTTTCAAAAAAAAAAAAAAATCATTGAAATGATGGCAGAATATTTTTAGAAGAATAATCATGAGCCACAAGTTATTTTTCAGATTTTCTCAAATGTCTCCTTGAACTGCATTTTGCGATAAAATCCCTCAATCTTCCTTGTTAGGGAGGTGGGTTTTGTTGTGCAGTTCAAGCTGCAGCAGTATTCTCATCTGGGAAATAAAAATCCCTCCTTTTACTTAATTCCTCCCTATTTCATTTGGTGTTCTGTTTCTAGATTTCCATCCAGATTGAAAGTTTCCAAACTCTCCCATACCTCACACAGCTGATGGGGTGAAGTCAGTCCTCTCCTCTCCTGCTCTGCTGCCCCAGTCCCAGGATGATTTGGGTTGGAAGGGACCTTAAACTCACCTTGTTCCAACCCCCTGCCATGGGCAGGGACACCTTCCACTAGACCAGGTTGCTCCAAAACCCCATCCAGTCTGATCTAATGTCTGACAGTATTTTTCTGGCTTGGAAAAGTGGCAGACTCTTTCCTCCACTGTGGGAGTGTTATCCACATAATAACTACTTGATTTGTCTGTATTTAAGCAATTCAATAAGATCACATCATGACTCACACAAATATCAGATTATCTTGAATACTGCTGAACATCATCAAAAACTTCACAGGGCTTCCATTTCAGTTCTTTTTTTCTTTAAACCTCAGCTTCCTATTCAAATGTATCAAATCCAATAGTTTACTAGTTTTCAGAACATAGCTTTCTGAAATCCACTATTAATGTTTGACATACCTTAACACAAAGTGAATGTTTTTGGAGGGATGTATTTTAAGTGCATTTTTTTATGCTTTGTGTTTAAAAGGTTCTTGTACTTCGGTGTTGTGCTATGGATGCTGTCTTTTTTTTTTTTTCATCTGTTTCCCTTTGATGGATGTGAGAAGGGCAGCAGTGTGACAGCATTTTGTTAAACCATCTCAGAATGTTATTGTATACCTATTAAACTGAACTAAGAGTAAAAAATAACTAAACTTGAAACAAGGCTTCTCTCTGAATAGTGAAATATTCAATTAGAAGGTTTTTTGCATATCTCACTTTCTTTTTGTTCAGTTAAATAAAAAGCTTATAGCTTATAGTTTGTGCCCCTCAAATAAATCACAGAAAAACAAAAGTCTCTGGGCTGTTTAACATCACTCCTGCTCATCCTTCCCTCCATGGAGTCTGATGCCCATCTTTCCCTTCCAAGAACAGGATTTTGTATCCAGTTGTCTTCTGCCAAGTGCTTGCTGGCAGCCTGCAGCCCCTGGGGCACTCAGCTCCTGCCCAGCCCCCTGAGCCCACTGTGTGAGGACACTCAACCACCAGGGCTTTGCTGAACGCTCTCTTGTGCATGGCCTGACACTCTGCCTGTTATTCTTTCAAATGATACAGCACAGGGCTCTGCAGGAGGATAAATTGAAACTTCCCATGTCAGTCCCTCTGGGCAAACACCATTTCAGGCTGGAGGTGATGTCAGAGAGATGCTTGTGTTTTTTATGGTGGCCACAGGGAACACAGAATATGCACGGGCTCTTCTGGGGCTGTATGGTCAGCACGTGGCCTTTGGCCAGAGAGAGCCAGTTTGGCTTCTACATACTGCTTTTGGAGGAAATGAAACCCAAAAATTACAGTATGACTCAAAAGCTCTAATACAGGGTGGCTGATCCTGTAAGAACAATATTTTTGGATGACAGTTGGATTTGAAAAATGCTGCAAACCCCGTATTAACTTGCTCTTTAATGGAAAGTAGTTGGGGATGGGGAATTAAGCTTTTAATTTTTTCTGTCTGTTTTCTGCTACTGAGCAATTCTCCCTTTTGTGTTGCATGATGAAGTGGAACTGTTCATTGCCCTTGAGCTCTACAAGGCCATCCCAGTCCCACAGGAGAGGCTGGAGTTTGTCATCAGGAGCTGTGATAACCCCCTTCCCCATTACTTTCTCTCAGTAAACCTTTGGCAGTTTTATGGCACCTTGATTGATAACAGGTTTAGCCAGAAATGGTGAGAGGAACAGAATTTGCTGTGCAAGATGAAATATGGAATTGGGGAGAGGAAGGCAGGTAGAGGATCTGGGCTGGGAGCCCGGGTAATGGCAGCCAGGGACTTGTGGGTTGGAAAAGGTCACCCTGCAGAGCATTTCAACCTCTTCTGAAACCAGAGCAAAAAGTCTCAGTTCTATGATGGTTAATTTGCCTTATGCCATTGACTAAGAAATCTCTCAGCTCGTGTGAAGTATAAAATATTTGCATTTGCTTAAAATATTAAGTGTATTCACTTCATTGGAAGCGAATGGCTGGACGGGTCTCTGAACAACCTGATATAGCGAACAATATCCCTGTCCACGGCAAGGGTGTTGGACTAGCTCATCTTTAGAGGGCCCTTACAACCCAAAGCAGTCTATAATTCTACTTTAATTTATTTTTAATTTTTCTTACCCACAGCAGCCTGAAGAGGAGCAGTCTGCGTGCGATGTCACCAGCTCCAGCTCCTCTGCAGATGACACCATGTCCCTGGAGAGGAACTCATCCCTGGGCAGCGACACATCCCTCCCCTTCCCACCCATGGGGAGCTTTGCCCAGCCCAAGGACAGGCACAGCCTGGATGGCAGCTGCACCAACATGGTGTCCTCAGAGGGAGGAGAGAAGGAAGAGGAGCTGGACAGCATCACGGACGTGCCCGCGCCTTCCTCCGTCCTGCGCAGCTCCATGCGGCCGCTGTCCCCTTTCCGCCGGCACAGCTGGGGGCCGGGGAAGAATGCCACGAACGAGGCAGAAATCAATCAGAGGAGGTGAGTGAGGAGCTGCTTTGATTTACTCTGCACCCACTCATGCATATTTGTCTGAGCTTTTAACCTGGCATGATAAAACTGAAGAGTTTATCAGAAGTGAGCACCGTCACTTTTGATTATTTCTTTTTCATTTGAAGAGGTTAAGACAATCTCCTAATGTATGTTTGTTTGTTTTTTCTTAAATTAACTTTCAGGATTAAAGTACTTAATACCTACAGTATGCTTGAGCTTTCCAGAGTAAATGGAATTACCTCAGGACAGGTCTTCCATTAGAACTGTCACGCCCCCTTTCTGTACAAAGGAATTATTGGAGTGTTAAATCTCACTGCCCACAGAATAAACATGACCATTATTGCTCTGATTGTATTAAGAGATAACACAGGCACTGGGGTTTAAAAAAATTCTGTGGAAACTCTTCATAATGGTGAGATGGGTCCTCCCTGTTTCACGGAATTAGTTCCACCTCAGTCTCTCATGGGCAGTAAGTTCCACCTAACTCATCACCAATGTTCCTGGTGTTATTCAGGAAGATTCAAAAGGGTGTGTCCATGCTGCTTCCAAGTCACTGGGGGAAGAAATGTTGCTCAGTCCCCCATTTCAGTGGGGAAGAAGATGAAGTAAAGGAAGATGCACGCCAAAAAGTAGTAATTGGTGTGAGGTTCCCTGCCATGCCCTGCACTGTTCAGCATTTGGGCTGTGGGGTTCTTGAGGCCAAATCCTGTGTAATCTGAGCCCAGTGGAGCTTTGGCCAGTGTTTTTAATGTGCTTTAATGCTTTCAGAGCAGGAATTGCCAGTTGCTTTAGCAGGGTCAGGGTGCCACATCCTCCCTGCAGCTCATAGAGGCTGCAGGCCCAGGTGTGCAGGTCAGTGCCACTCTCTGGCTGCCTGCTGTGTCCTCATGGCAAACATTCTGCTGTTAACAGAAACAGAGTCATTGCACGTGGGGCTGGATGGCATTAAATTAAAACTGGCCACTCACTGCAGGTTCCTGAAAATGGTTACTGACCCCTTTGGATAATGCAGGGAGAGGCAGCAGGCATCAGGAATGTCTGCATCCTTTACACACAGCAGCAAAATTAGGGTTTCACTAAAGGAATATCAGAGACCCTTCAGGTTTTAAAATCAATTTTGAAAACCATTCGGGATCCTCTAAGTAGCGTACAGTGAAATATTTTTATTGTTGTTGTTGAACACTGTCATCTTTTTTGGGCTTCATTCCTGGTCCCCAAGTAATATTTAAATAAGTCAAGTAATGCCCATCAATTTTTTTTAAAGTGACAAAAGAGTCAGCATACCTGCAGATGACAGAATGATTCCATAAACTCATTTGGGGAGATTTACTTCTGGGTGTAGGGCCTCAGATGCATAAGGATTTCTGAGGGTAATAAACTGCATAGCTGGCAATCACTGCTAACACTGAACAGATGGGGTTAAATTCTCCTACATCACGCTTTGGAGGCTGTTTGTGATATGGGAAAATACATTCATTGTAAATGTAAGAAAATCTGAGTTAAAGGAACAGTAATTCTTCTCATATGTTCTCACATAGAGCTGTAGTACATAAGGATAGCTGTCATGTCGGGGAATTAAAAGAAAAGCTGGGTGGGTCTGTGGTGCTGATTAAATTCATGTTTGTTTTTATGCTTCTTTTAGAAAGGAATTTGGATTATTTGCTGTGTCGTTTTGTTGTTTTCTTTGTTCTTTTCATATGTGGCTCTTGTGCTATTGAGGCTCGTTGCTTAGTGCGAAACAACAAATACTGAGGGAGTAAAGTGCAAACAAGTGACTTCCACTCAAGTCAGTTAAATTCTGAGTGTTTGCTTATTCATTTATTTCACATGCAGTAGATGCTTTTCCAGCTGAAGGGGAAAAGTCCTTATTGTAAGTTGACTTTTGCAAACCTTGCAAGTGGAGTAACACTGAGCACAAGGTTGGCTGAGGTTTGTCTGGCTGGATCTGTTCTGCTCCCACCACCCTTTGTGCTCCCTCCCCTCCTCTGGCACTTCTCTGCTCTGTAGGTGAGCAGCTTGTGCTCACTAAATGAGGAGAAAAATAACCAAATCAAGTTGAATTGCCACCTAAACCAGCCCAAGGATTAGAACTGGGCTGTGCAGCCAGGAAGAGGAATGGGGTGACAGAGTGCACCATCAGCTGGGCTCTGAGAGGTGCTTCCTGCCCCAGCAACCACTTGCAGCCCTCATCCACACCAAAAATAGTCCTAACCTTGATGACAAAGATAGCTAAGTCAAGCTTAGATAAAGGTGCTGATACAGGATCCAAAAAGCCTACAGAAAAAAAAAATCAGCCTTTTGTAAAACCTGATCTTTTCCACCGTTATGTGTTTCCTGTTTCTTAGAGGGATGAGTATAAAATTTGTTCACAGAAAAAATCAGGATGAAAAAACAATAATCTTAAATGAAATGTGAAAAAATGCTCAATCCCCTTCACTTCCCGTCTTTCCTCAAATGCACTTCACAGATAGTCCTTGTGCCTACATTTTGCTATTAAAATACAAAGAAAACCAACAAGGCTGCACAAAAGGATGTTCATCCTTCAGTTAATTCCTGACATTCATAGCAGATTTGAAATGCCTGTCTTTCAACAATGCTGCAGTGTGTTAAACATCCAGGCTGGGGAAAGAAACACCCTCATGTTTCACTGATGGATTAAGCACTGCAAAACTGGAGCTGGTGTTAATCACTCCTGCTAACAGCTTCTGTCAAAGAGTTTGGCCTTATCTAAACTTTAAACTGACCTGGCTTTGGCAGCAGCAAAGTTGCATCATGGTCAATACCTGTGCAGCCTTCTTTCTGTACAAAATAAAACCAACCAAACCCCAGATTTATTTGTAGAAGAGAGGAGAAACACAGAGACTCATTGCTTCCCTTCATATTTCATTTTGTGTTTTCCCTGTATGTTCATTCCCTCTGTCTGTGTGTTGGGGATATTAATCCTTTAGCTGCCATTTGTTAATTTTTTTTTCATTCAAGCTGCTGACCATTCTCCATGATTCATTTTCAGTTCAATGCGAATTCTGGGGGATGGTATAAAGAAGCCTCCCATTCATAGGAGAAGGTACAAAGCCAACTAATGTGACTAACTGTGTTGTGTTTGAATGTCTACTAACTCCATCCTCTCATGTTAGAAAACCTGTAGGACCTCTGGAAGTGTTGGCATTAGAGCTGTGCATCCCACCTGGCTGCTTTCTCTCTCCAGTCTGACCCAGGGCAGGGTTTGTGCCCCACAGAGCACATGCTCGAGCTGTTTTCCCCAGAACATTATGTCAGTAGTGAAAAGAAATCTCAGATATGATTTTGTTGACCTTCACCATGTGTAAGATTTGTAGTTGGTTGAAACAGTTTACCTGGGAGCATGTGTGTGATTTAGATTTAAAGCACATCAGAGACTCCTGGCAAGACTTGCAGGAGGGGCAGCTAGGGGAGGGAATGGGTCAGACACGATCTCAGAGTTGGAGAACACTCTGAAGATCTGCAGCTGGTTGAATTTAAGGTCTTTAATTTTGCTCTTGTGATGGTTTTTATAACCATCTGCCTAAAAAAGAGAAAAAAAGGTGTGTTTTTCTCTTCACTCCCATGTGTTTTTCCTCTCTATAACAAACTTTCAATTTTCATATCCATCCCATGGATATGCAGTTCCACTCATGTAACCTTTGCATTAGTTATTTGTATATAAGTATATACAAATAACTAATACAAATAATATATAAATAAATACAAATATGTATATAAATATATACTTAGTTTTTGACACAGCAGATGTGGACTGTCCACACTTAGACATTTTAGGCTAAAGAAAAAAGAGAGGTTGAACTTCTTCCCTTCAGTGGTTCAACCTTGTCTCACTTCCCATAGCCTGTGCCAGGTTAACTTGGGATTTCACTTCACTGGAAATATGGATGGGGTGATGTGTGTGTAAACAAACTACCACATTCCCACATGTGAAAAGAATGATGCTATGACCAAAAAAATCAGCATGCCTCACTGTACAGCAGCTTCAATGAACCCTAGCAGTGCTGTACAGGTCAAAAGAGCACTCTTAAAAAAGAATTGTTTTAAAAAGACACAAGAAAAAGCTTTTTTTACTTCTAAGAAGCCACTTCATTTGCATCAGTTCAGGAAGCAGTCCAGTGCTTGTCTTCTCAGCTCATGCAAATGTACTTCTTTTTATCAGTGATCTCTTAAGGCTCCTCTGTAGGAGCTGTGTTTAGTATTTAGAGTCAAAATATCCTGAAACAATGAGCTTACAAGTAGAGTAAAGAAAATGTCTAGAATACCTGGTCATATCTGATATGTGTGATAATCCTTTCATAAACATTTTCACACCTTTTCTGGTCTCTAAACCATTTTGGAATCATCCTCTCTAACCCCACTTGGGGAGCAGGAGCCTGAAACTGATTCCAACAGTTTGTGCTCCCCCACAAGGCTGATGTAGATAAAAGCTCATCCTCCTCCCCAAGATGTCCTCTGTAAGGGAGTTTTGCATGCTCTGAATTGATCTTTTTATGATTTTATGGTGGCTCCCCCACAGGACTGGGATTCTGCAAGAATGCTTTCCACAGCCTTTGTCAGCAGATCCCCTTCCTTCCTCCTTTGAGATCTTAACACTTCCAGGCTTCCTCCTACATATGTAGGGCTCCTCTTTTTCCCTCCCTCTATTTTTCTGTTTCTCTCCCCTGCAGTTTTAGTGTTTGGGATCATCACCATAACATGGCAGTGATCAGGAATAGAGGAATCTTTTAAAGTCTAGTGTAATTGTTACATGGTTTCTTTAATGAGGAGAATCTTCTTTCCTTCGAAAAAAGGACCACACAAAAATGAGTGACTTTGGAATGCAAGGTGACACAAGATTGTCTCAAAGGGTCTGCCAATCTCTTGTGGCCACAAGCAGATGTCCTGATGTGTGCCACCTTCCTTGGGATGCTTTCTCAGCTGCCCCTGAGCAGATCTGAGTGACGCACTGGGAGGCTGAACCCAGGCCTGAGAGTGCAGACTGTGTGTGATGGAGTCCTGTGGCCTTGGTTCCTCTGTGATTTCACACAAGTATTTAGTCCCTGCCATCCCCCACTAATATTTAAACACCTGCCATTGTGGTTGAATTGGGTGAGGATGATGAAGCACTTGGAAATACTAGCATGTTATGGGAAGGAATGTGTTCATGAAGAATGTTTGCAGTACTGTGCTGTGAGCTACTGGTGAAGCACACCTGGGAGCTTTTGGGTGCAAAGCTTTGGGTGCATCCTCACCCAGTTAGCATGCTTTATAAAACAGGCAGCAGTTATCTGAACTTTACCATTGAGCATCCTGAATGTTTCCAATTGTCAAACCCTTACAGAATATTTCCAGTGTTGCACTGTGTGTGGAAACAATATGAGGACTTGTCATGACATGATGCATTCAGTGGGTTTAAATCTTGGTCTGTGCCCTCAGAGGCTTCTGGCACTCACAGTTCCTAGTCCAGGAAGGTTAAATTTGTTCTGCCCTTTTCATAGGCTCCTGTCATGGAGCAAAACATGCTCTGGCCATGTCCCCTCCTTGCATGGATCTCAGACCAGGACCTGAGACCTGTGCTTATGCAAATTTCCCTTCAGACAATGTGTGCTTCCTGAACAGCTTTTTCAGGATTTAGGGATCATATAAATGTCATAGCTGACAAGAAGATGGATTTCTCTGTTTCTGCAAAACCTGCAATTGGGCCACGAGCTAACAGAGAAAAAATAACAAAAGCAGTCTAAAATAACAACCAAAATATTTGCATTCTGTATTTGCATTTCTAATGTCTTCCATGATGCAACTTTGGGACTCTTTTGGGGAATGGGAACTGAAAGGTCTTTTAGACTCTTGATTTAATCCCAAGTTAATAGTAAGATTAGCCTGTTTTCTCTTCCAGCCTCTTTCACTGACTGGCTGTGCAGCATTTAAAAATGTGCCTTTCTCCTTATTTTTCTAAGTGTAGCCTGAGGTTATTAATATTTCTATGGAGGAGACTTACACTATGAAATATCTGTAAGGGATTCTTTTTCTGATTTGAGGATGAGAGTTACCAGGAAAATACTAATCATTACTAACACAATGGCTGTGTGTGTTTAATTACAAATTGGCTTTGGTATGTTTTAGCCTTGTTTTTCCCAAAAACCTCTTTCACCACAAGGAGTATTTTTTCCAGTACATTGTATACTCGCTGATGGGGTCAGTTTGGGGGAAGCATGGACTGTCCTGTCCCCCCTGTTCAGTGGTAGCCTCAGGCATTTGGGGCACTGTGGTGTGTTTGTGCAACCAGACGTGTGCTACTGCATTATTTCTGAGTTTGTTGTTGTTTTTTTTTAAGATACGTGAGAGTGAGAGTCTTTTAACGTTCCCCACGTTCCACAGCAACCTGGTAATCACCGCCCTTTTCCTTTCTTTGCCTCTTTTGCTGTTCCTAGTTTGAGCTGGTGTCCCTCAGGCGTACAGTACATTGCCATGGGTCCTGACTTTACTTGTAGAAGGTATGGTATGAATCGATGTGCAGGAGCACTGCAATCACCCTGTCGTCAGCTTCTCGTGCATCGTCCCCTCCACTGCTGCTCTGCCTGAAGCGTGCACGTGTTTGTTTGCTTGGTCTGCTTTTTCAGCAATTCCCCTTGGGAGTGGATCCTCAGAGCTGGGCTGCAGGTGGAGGTGGTGGCTGCTTTCCACTGGCCTCTGGCATTAAGGAAGCTGTGCCCTTGGGTTGAGCTGCTCTGTTCCGTGATGACTCCAAGCCGTGGTTTTTTTCCGCAGCAATGATCAGAACGATAATTGTGACAGCCAAAAAATCAAACCAGGATTAAATATGATTCAGCACTGCTTTGTACCAGATCAGTCTCATAAAGGATTTAAGTTCACACAGACTTGCTCTCTGTAAATGACCTAGGCTTTTCTTCAGAGAGACTAATCGTGTAAAGCCTTCTCTGAAAAAAACAGTCTGATCACCACAGATGAAAATTTCCCAGGCTCTTAAAGTTTGCATCTTCTTTAGAAAGTCCCAGTTTGAGATTGATGGTTGCAAGTCACATCTTTCCTCAATATTGTTTTGAAGGCAGTCCCCCAGATTTTATGGCTTTATAGCTTTTCTCTGGCAGCTTTTGCTGGTTATGTGTAGAGCTATTAAAACTCTTTTTCGGTATTGAGAAGTAAACTTTTTCTTCCTGGTACAGTTTAATTATGTGTGGTGTACATATGCCAATCAGCAAATTAGAGACCAGTATCACTGATAACTATTTTATGGGCTAATATTTGCAGGTTTTAACTAGTATTATCACATGTACGTGATTTTTTTTTTCCCTCTACTGCATAGCATCATTGTTGCCACCTTGGAACATAAAAAAGGTATTTTTCTGTTCTGAATAATCAGTAGAAATGGGACTGATTTCTACCTACAGGTGTTTTAGAATAAACTTTTAAATGCCTGCTATTGATACACATTGATGAGTCAATCTTCCTAAAGCAGATTAAATTATAAATGCTTCAACCAGTCTTTTTTTTCTCATTAATTACCATGAAAAAAGGTTTTTTTAAATCTACTAAATCTTCTTATTCATAGTTTATTTAGTTTTTGCTTTCAAGGTGCATATTTATGAGCCTTTTAATGCTTCTAAGGGACTGCAGAACATTAATCCCTGCTATGCAAGTCTACCTGAATTTAAAGCTCCTGTGGTTGTTTAAATCATCTGTACAGCCTGCAGTATGTTTTCTTTTTCCTGTGTTTGCATGTCAGCTTGTTCACCACTGAGATGTCATGATTAGCCTCAGGTTGGGATATAAATCCAGGGTAGGGCTGGGACTTAGTATCAAATCAAAGATTAGCCATGGATCTGTGCTTGTGTGCTGGCAGGGGAATCTGTAAAGCTTCACCCAGTGAACCCACACTGGCATTTCAGCAGGTTTGTTGATGGTTGGGCACAAGGAGCAAGAGGGTCAGAAGCAGAATATTAGGGCACCATTTATCAGATTAAATAGTCCCATGTGAGAGAGGGTGTGTTTTGTGTAGGTGAGAGGAGAGTGTATTAATGTTCTTCTGTGGAGTTCACTTGTCTATCAGCACCTGTCTCTACAGAGATTGGCCAAATGTTTTATTTCTAACAGATCTGCAAGCAAAAGTTTAGTATTTTACTTAGCTTTGAGGTACTTCTCAGCTCTGCTGGGCAAGACCTAGCTCCCTCAGTAGATGATAAAATAAAATTGATTGGGTGAGGGAGACAACATTTACTGAATTTGAAACCAAAACCACAACATGGGTAAAAAAGAAACTGGCTTTGGCAGAAAAAATGACATTATCAGTGCCAAAACTGTGCAGTTTTAAAATAGATTCAGAGGATGTGGCTGCAGAGATGAGTGTTACAGCAGCAGATGTGGCTGCTGGGAGAGGTATTGGTCCAGGACAAGCAGCATCATGCTATGCAAGGTAGTTTGATTTGGGTGGCTTTATTCCAAGGGAGAGCCTAATAAAAAGTTAGCAAAGAGAATATGTAGAAATGCTAAAATCCTTAGAAGGGGTGTTTCTGGATTTTCATGTGCACCACTCAAGAAGAGTAAAAAAAACAGTAGGAAAGGCAATTGACCAGGAGTTTCAATGGTTGTTCAAGCAAGGAACAAACCTTTATGTCTCATTAGAAGCACAAAGATGTTGCTGTTTGCTCTGAAGAAAAAAGAACATGCTGAGGAGTAGCACCTGCTTTTATCTGCACACTTCAATGCCTGCTGTGTGTTTTACGTTTGCAGGTGCTCTGTGCTGAAAGATCCTGGTCTCTAAGAGTTTGGCAGCATCTGACCTCTATGCTTTCCCTTTAGTTACAGCCTGGAAGGCCTTGCTGGAGACTCTGGTGAAAACAAGAAGCCTTCTACAAACCTGGAGGCTTCTTCTCTGAACTCCAAAGACCTCAGGAGGAGTCCACTTGCCAGCAATCAGTCCCTGGTCCTGCTCACTGAGGAGCTTGAGCAAGGAGAAATCAGAGACTACAACCACCAGGTAAAGCTGTCCAACTACTGGTGGATGTCTGGGAAATGCTACATCAACATTCTGAAAGCTATTTTCCAAGTGACAGTCTGACAAAGGCTTCCAGCTTATATGTACATATACATAGTATTAAAAATCTTCCATCTTTAACATGGAGGAATCTCCAACTGTTTTAAGTTTTCTACTTTGTTTTTTGTGGCAACACAACTCTTGTGTCTTCTCTTGCTTAGAGGAATAGCAATTTTTGGGAACACACTGCTAAGCATTGGATTTTTTTTACCAAGTTGAACCACGGTCTAGTTCTGCTGAGGAGTTGGAGTCACAACAGCAATTTCCATGGCAATCAGAGAGTTTTAACAATATCTGTTTTTTAATGTCTTGCAAGAAAATCAAGCACATATAGTCCTTCTGTTGCATAATTAGTTGTCTTGACACTTAAAATACAAAACAAAATGTTGCATTTACCTGTGCACTGTTTCACTGTTTCAAAGTGGGAGCTGCAGTAAACATTAACACTGAACTGGATCTGAAGCTGGGATGGTTCTGTCATTCTTGACATACTCAGTGTGGTTCTGTTCTGTTCTGCAGGTGCATCAAACATCACAGCCACAAGGATTTAACTTCTGTTCTTCTGCTGTTTCATCTCCACTGACCAAATCCATGTCTCTAATGTCAATTAGCAAGCCAGTGCTCGACAGTGAGTAATCCAGTTTTACATTACCCACTCTGTATAATTGAGTATATCTTGCTACCTACCCAAGGCAAAATGTGCTACTGCCCGCTCATGCTTCCCTTATTACAGGAATATGTAACATATATTTCACTGCTGCATGGACTTGTGGGTGGAAAGGCAGAAATCATTCAGTTTAGTTTTGTTCTTCATAGTGTATCCCTCCTGTTTTCTTTCTGTTGGGTTTCCTTTCTGTGGGTTGCTTTTTTCTTTCTAAATTAGGCTACTGATATGAAAACTATGCTTTATTGAATTTGTTAACTAAAAAAAAAAGATCTAATTTTGCATCCTTTCAGAGTTTCTTCCTTTGATGTCAGATAAATTCCACTTGAGATCTTACTCCTTACATCTAGGTTTTTTTAAAGCTGAAACGTGGAATCTTGAGAATCCATATCTTGATCTCCTTGGGGGAGTTTGTTTCTATTAATTTGGAGTTAAATATTTTGGAAAAGTTGGGTGTAATTTGTTGAATCTCATTCCTGAAGAAAATAATAAAAGATGATTCTATAAAATTTTCCAGTTTAGCATAATTGAAGCGATAACAAGCACTTAATTTTGCAACTTGGCTGAATTGATTCTTTCAGCTGAAAAAGTCATTCAGAAGGCTGCAGCTGGATGTGCTTAGGATGTATTACACGTTTTCATTTTATTAATTGCCAGCCAGAAACCCTATTGACATTTTAGCTCTTGTCACTTGGTGATGGTGTCTGATCTTTCCTCTTTATTAATGTGATTCTCCCTTGCAAAGCACAACAAGGTGCTTTAAGGAACATGTTTCATTTATGGAGGAGGCTTGCTGGAGGAAGCTCACAGGGATTGTGTTTTGTAGGAGATGGTTTTAAACTCTTCAATTCTTCACCATGATAATTCCATGACTGATAAGAACGAGCCCTAAGGGATGTGTCCCCCAGCAGCAGTAACCAGAACGGGGCAGCTCTGTCCTGTGAAGAGAGCAGACCCTGCCCTGTGTGATGGCACTGCCTCTTCTCTCCTTGGGCTGAAGGTCTGCACTGTTGTTTCTTGAAGCTACCAATTTCTTGGCATTGCACCCAGCCTCTGACCAAACACCAAAAAACTTGGCTGGCTCCCCAAAAATGAGCTATTGGTGGCTGAGGGGGCCTGGAAGGCCAAGGCTGTTCAAAAGTCCTGTGGCCTAGCATTGAAAATACCATGGAGGCTTAATTATCCCATCTTCTTCTAGAGACAGTCTGGCCACCCTGGTCCCTGGAGAAAGAAGGAAAAGAGAAGATGTAGCCTCTAGAGAGGCTGTGGACAAAGTAGCAGGGTTAGTTTTCTGCTTTGAGGCAGATGTCTGTGAATTTGGGACACTGAATGTAAATATTACTAACATTCCTCTGAGCTTTATTTTCTCAGTCATTAATTTGTGACATCTCAGAAGGGCCACATTTTTATAGGAAGGTGGATTTGGAAATTAGAGGATTTGAGGGGTTAATATGAGCATCCAGAAGGAATAATCACTTGGAAAATTTAGCTCTTGGACTTTTTTCCCAATCCTGACACCTTCCTGACTACAAAAACTTCAGTAAATCACCCAGAAAAATTTGTGGCTGCCCCATCCCTGGAAGTGTTCAAGGCCAGGATGGATGAGGCTTGGGGTAACCTGCCCTAGTGGAAGGTGCCAGAGGGACTGGAACTGGATGAGTTTTAAGGTCCCTTCCAATCCAAACCATTCTGTTATTCTTGTCAATTCTTCCCCTTTGATAGAGGAGCAATGCTGTTTGAATTGTGGCCACAGGACATGTGAAGCAGTTTAGTCCTGTTACAAGGAGGTCTTGGTGTATAAACTCCCTTGTGTCACCTGGGTTTGATGTTCATGTTTTTCCAGCAGGACATTTAGGAGTTATGCAAGAATTACATGGAAGTGAATTCCAGTACAAATTATATTCTTTATTCCATTTTCATAACTTTGTGGTAGGTGTTGAAAAAAAAATGACCCTCTGATCCCTTCAAATGTGTTTGAATGGGAAGAAAGCAACATGCTGTGCTCAAGAACTTGAAAAACGAAATCCAGATTAATAAACATATGGAGGAATTTCTTCTGTTTTTACTGTTTATTGTCATGTGTGCTGAAGGAGGAGCAATTTCCAAGACTGATTTCCTAGCCCACACTCCATCTGATGTGTCAGAAGTTCCAAGAGCTTCTGTGGCCATTCACAATGTTAATCCTTCAGCATTTTATAGAGGGAGGTCACAAGAGCTGTTGGCTGGAGTGCTCGGAAGAATGCTTTTAGCCTTGGAATAGCAAATTTCCAGTGTGGAGCACTGTTATAAAGCCAGGAATTGCTATAAATAAAACCACTGAAATGGAAGTTGAACTGTGTTGGCGAAGGTGGTTCAATTTACAGTAAAGTATTATTGTTCATCTTGACTTTTAGTCTAAATAGACAGTAGACTACAGAAGAAACAGTCGTGTTGCCTAATTGTATTCTTTAGGTCTGGAACACTGGAACAACTCCTTTGAAAGGCAGTCTAAACAAAACTAATGCATGGGTCTTCCTAAGAATTCTTCAGTCTAAATGCTTTTCAGTGGGTCCCTCTAAGGTTGTTCTGCTTACTTGGAAAACTCTGCACATTTTAGCCAAATTGCCTGAAGGCAATTGGCATTTGTGACTAATGGCTGGAGGAAGTGTTCAGGGGAGTTTGTTTTGCATTGCTTTCGTAGCATTGGCTGTTCTTTGGACAGTGTATTTATATTCTGAATTCAGTTTTGATGTATGATACCAGCCATGCAAAAAACCCTCATTGCATGTGGCTGAAAGGACATTCAAAGAGGGAAATAATTGCTTTGTCTTTCTCTTGGAAGTTTAATACTGATAAAGTCTTTATCCTGTTTCCCTGTTCTGCAAGTGAATTGATGTATCCATGGAATGACTTAAAAGTACCTGAATACCTGTGCTGAAGATGTTTAATGTAGGTGCTTAAGCAGGACCCTTAGGTCAGACCTGTTCCAGGGGCAGGGTTTCCTCAGCCCTGTCCCAGTCACCTTTCCTGAGGACACAGGGATGTACCATGTGAGCAGTGAGTGTCCAGCAATCAGCTCACAGCTCAGAGGTTTCCACCTGTGCTAGTAGGAAGAGAAGCTTTGGGAAGAGAAGGTTATAAAGAGATGGTTATGAAGAGGTTTGGTTTAGGGCCTTTGGGAATCCACTTTCAGTGAAGAATGACTAGCTGGCTCCTAATTCTCTTTTCAGAGACCATGTACTTACAAAGAATTGTTGGAAAGCTGCTGCTGTGCAAGGGCTGCTCATAAAAATAAATGATGGGATATTTGGTGTCACAGACTGATTGCTGAGTTTGGCACTATGTTTGGTAGGCATCTTCCAGGCAAGGGCAAAGAGGGTGTAGTGGAGCTCTTGTCATGTTTAGGCAGTTTCTTTAAAACAAGGACTCTTAAATTTTAGAAGAAGTCAGAAGATATGCTTGTTTTTTTCTGTTTTATTTTGGAAGAAGAGAAGGGAAGCTTAAGTATCTGCTTTTCAAATCTGGAAATTTTGAAGGGCATAACATTATCAACACTGTTGATTTTTTTTTTAGACATAGAAGTAGCAAGAACCCTCCCCATGTAGACAAAGTCATCACTTAAGATAAATTGTCTTTGTTAATATTTGGTAGCTTTGCTGTATCATTTGACTACAGAAAGCACCTTCAAACAGATATCTTGAGTTGTTCTAGTTTGAGTTCTTTCAGTGAAGCTGATGCCCATTGTCCAGAGATCCATTTTGTTGTTGGTTTTCTGTTTGGAAGGATAACTGCCTATAGTTCTTCACTAAGAGGTCCTATAAAAAAAATTCAGCAAAAATAGTGAAAGACTTGATCCTTGAGCTGTGCATGCAGTGAGGCCTGGGCCCTCTGAAACCTGCACCCTCTGGAATTTAAACATTCTCAGTTCATTTTCTTGTGCCTTTCTGGAGCCAGCTGCTTTGCAGACATTTCCTTTGCTTTGCTTTTAGTTTGCTTTGGCTGCTTTCCTCTCCTTTTTATTATTAAATGCATTTTCAAGCATGCTCTAATGTCTGCTGTTAACCTACTTCTCAGCCCAGGGCCGGACTCGACCATCGAGACGAATCTCCTTCTCCTTCAGCATCTCTCCACTCATTCCTAAGTCTAAAACTCTCTTTTCTATTGGCTCTTCTTCCAGTGATGAGGAGGAGGAGTTGGATAGTAAGTAATAATTTTCTATGCATTGCAGCCATAATGGGTGGAAACACAGAGCACTCTGGTTTTCTGCTTCAGACACTGGAATTTCGCCTTGCAAACATTGAACTACCCTTTCCATTGCATGATGTCCAATAGCATTATCTTAGTCCTCTCTGAACACTAACTACCGGCAGAATTAAGAGGATTATTATCCAAAGAATCTTCTACATCAGCACCATCACATCTTATCTGGTCAGATAGATGATCAGATATCATCCCCTGGCACTATGAGCAGCCAAATAGTCTTTACCTTTTTACTAAAACCAAAATACTTGCCTTGAGCTTGTTGCAGGGCATGGAGTTAGCAGAAGAGGTACTTCCTTGCCCTCCATAGGTGACAGTGAGTGCATTGCTCAGTGGAAGAGAAGCCCTGATTATTAAATTCTGAAAATCTTCACAGCAACTTCAGAGTTCCTCCACTAAGCAAAAAGCACAAATTCCAGACGTTAAATCCTCAAGGTGTTCCTATCTAGGTCCTGATATTGTTATCAAAATAGTTCTGTGGGAATCAGGTGAGAGTTCTCTGGGAGCTCTTTTTACCCCTGCAAACTCCATTGCTAAAAGAAGCCCAACCAAGGCAGAAGATTGAATTAATCTAGACTCCTCTTGTTTTTTTAAATAGGCTTACCAAAGATTATTCAAAATGCTTTCTATTTCTTAAGCATGTTTTATTAGACTGTTGAAATAAACCAGACACATTCCTTGTGTCATTACTGGGAAGGGGGAAATTGCTTTCCAGTCCAATAGACTTTGGTTGCTTCCTGAATTTAAAGCAATCTCCATACCATCCACATTGTACACATCTAAATTCTCCTCCTTTCCATTCCTGGTCTTCACTGTGGGTTTGTCCCTTCCTTCAGGGGAGTTCTTTGCCCAGGTGTGATGTTACCCACCTCCATATTTAAACTCCTTCCTCATTGCTCTGTCCTTTTCTTCTGCTTTTAACAAAACTGATGGTTCATGGTCCCCATGAAGTGAACTGCAAAGACACAGCTGTGCATTCATATGATGCCCCACAGTAAAAAATATCCTTAGGTAAACTTTCTGGTAGAGTTTGTTCGTTTGTTTGTTTGTTTGGCGAGTTTTGTTCTTTAAAGCATTTAGGTTATTTTACTATTATTATTATTTATTTTTGGTTTTTTTGTTTTAAGCATCCAACACCTGATATTCATGTTAGGGTATGACAATTTTAGAGGATATTTATAGTAGCCAGTTCTTTCCCTGGACAGTGCTCCTGTTAACCATGATCATTTAAGATAATGTCAGATACTGTCTCAAGCAATGATATTATTTTCTTTACATGTTTGAGGATACTGTGGTGACTTTATAAAGATTGATTTAGGCACTGCTCTTTCTGAGACTGCTTTGGCCATGGGCATTTTTCATGGAGCAATCCCAGACCAGTTTGTTTATTATTATTATCTTTAGGGTTCATTTCTCATAAGAGGATGGATGTGTGAACACTGAGATTGCACATGCATTTCAGTTGCCCTTCCTCAACCTCTCCATGCCTGCTTTTTTTTTAGAAAATGGAGAGTTAGTTGAAGTTTGTTTGGTGATATATTTAAGACATGGATTTCAGATGGCTGGAGAATTATTATGAATCCTTTGGATTTCTTGACCCACAGAAGTTTAATTACTGACAGCATTAAGGCATTGCAAGCTGGTTTCAACATCCTAGTCCAGTCACTACTTTCTGCATAATGGATCTTGACTAATTATTTTAAGTCTAGCTACAATATGAATTAATTTTTGTGGCTGGTACTTAAAAGGTGTTCAGATAAATACAGCAAATTTTGGCTGCCAGCCCAGATTCATTTGACACAGATACCAGTTCTGGCTTTTGGAACAAAATCTTGATTTTTTTCTGGGTTCTGAAGTCAGATTTCAGTTTTGTTCCTGGTCATGACAGGGAACAAAAAGGTTATGAAACTAAGTTTTCCTTCCCCTCTTCTACTTCATAAACAAATCAGAAGGTGAGAAGATGTGTCTTTTTCTGTGTGCTTGTCTTCCTGGGGTTTACAGCTTGCTGCAGTGTTGATAATGTGATATTATAATCTAAAATATGAAATCATAAACAGACCTTAATTCTTCACTGGATCCCTTTTGCCTGCCAGCATCAAGAATCCCCCATTTTTAAGGTGAAACAACTAAGTAAAAAATAAAGATACATAATTATAGTTCTCATGCAGCGTATTTTCTCAAGGTAGTGAAAAACATTCATAAATTCTTGGTTCAGTGTTTGTTCACATTTCTCATGTTAACTGCAAAGAAAAAAAAAAAGGCTTGTGAAAGACTTAAATCCAGTCAAACTGATGAATCTTCTTTAAAAAAAAGGAGAGACAAAGGTGGTCTAACCCAAATTAAAAGTAAGCTAGAACTGAAATGGGAACCAGAGTTACTAGAGCTTTAACCAAGGATTTGGGAGTCTGTAAATTTATTTGTGTGATCCTGTTAGGCACTTAGGTAGTTTTATATTATAAAAATATAATATCAGTGTTGGAAATTGAATAGTAGACTTCATTTCATACATGTTACAGTATTACTAACTTTGGTGTATTTGGGATAAATCATTAATGAGGTGAAAGATTTTCCAAGGGAAATATTAACACAGCTCTCCAAGCAGGGTTTAGGTAACAGGGTAGGCCAATATTTTAGTTTCTCAATATGAAGAAATGATATTTCTGTCTCAGACTCTGTTGGCACTTGAGTCAGTGGTTAGAAAATCTGTATTTAAAGCCTAGTATTGTATGCACTGTTTTTCCTAATGCTCTTACTGCTTTTGGATAAAGGGCCTTCTTTGCCTCTAATGGCAAGTTTTTGCATTCACCCTTAGCATTAGGAGAATTTGAGCCAAAATGCTGTTTTTCTTGCAGTATATATGCAGGAGCCTTGTCAGGTGACAGTTATGCTGCTTCTTGAACTTCAGATAGGGCTGCAAACAGTGCCTGTCTGAAGGTTTTTTTGGAGTCCTGGCAAGCTTCAGAGAGAGCCCTCTGTCCTGGATCATTTCACCCTGATTTTTTAGCATTCTTTGATGGTTCTGGTAAGTGGTGTCAGCTCCCAGATCTGCTCCAAATGCGTTGTGCAAGCAGGTTTCTTGTGTAGAGAGAGTTGGTGCCACTGGCAGGGCTTCAGCTTCGTGTTGAAATTCAGCCTTTCCTCAAGCAGCGTTTCATGACGAAGCCCCAGGCTGGTAACGTTTTGTGGAAAACAGAATAAGGCTTCCCTTGTTTCCCTTACTTTTTATGAAGTGCCTCAGGATTTTGATGGGAAAATGAACTACAATTTTATCAAGGAGAAAAGTTTTATACATGAAACCCGGATGTGCTGTACAATAGATCCTTTCTAGTGGAGTATAAATTAAAGCATTGTGTCAGAATGATTCTCATTTATACCTCTTGTCATTGAATTGACGGTTCTTATTCAGACACCCTGATTTTTCAGCAAGTTTAACAGTTGCACGGACTTCACTTAATAACTGAAGAGTGATAAAAATACTAAACAGGCTTTCACCTCAGCATCTAATTTGAGAGCAGCTAAGGATATGGGGAACAGGCTTTTTCCTGAGCACGTGAAATCTGTTCTAAACACCCACTTCTGGAAAACATTTCCCTTTCCTCTCGAACCATCCCAACATGCAAACTGTGTTTGTTGAAATCAGTGGGCTAAGGCTGCAGTCTGACCTGTCACCCCCCACCCCTCCCATCTTTTGCAGGTGCGCAGTCGTTGGGCGGCTCCATGGGCTCCTCAGTGCAGAGGTACAGTATCCTGGCACACCCTGTCTCTCCTGGGGGCACTCCTGCTGTGGGCTCTGCCTCAGACACCCAAAAGCCTTCCTGGCACCAGTGCACTTCAGCTGAAATCGGAAGTTGTGAAAATCAGTCCCGTATCTCTAAAGGCTGAAGAATATTTTAGGTCACGGAATATGAAAGTCCATTTGTCTCATCTCTTAACAAGGCTCTGTTTATTCATTGCTAATAACATCAGATTATGCATTATTGTAGGGTGTCAGTTTACCCTGAGCTATATTCTACACTAAAAGTACTGCTTTCTCCCTGTGGCTAATTATCTCTCTATAGCAAAGGCCAAAACGATTGTGTTTTTGTGTGTTACTTTTCATCCTTGCAAGTTGCACAGAGGAGATAATCTTGGTGGCTTTCAGAGTGCTTCCCTGGAGGAAGGACATTTGTGGCACTGGGTGTCTGGTCACTGTGCCACTGACAGCTTCGGCTTTATTTTGTGACTGGGGGGCTCTTCACCTTTGCTCACTGCTGTTTTCTCCTCCTTGGTTTAATTTGTATTTCTGTTCTGCTTTTGATTTGTCTTGTATTTAATATTAACAGACTGTGTCCTTTAATGCAATACTGGTTTCCTTACTCTTCTACCATAGCTGAAGAAGTTACAAGCTTGGGCATGTAAAGACTGGCAAAAATTATCTGGGATCCTAAAAATTCCCTAATTAATACACATAAGCATGGTGGTTTATTACTTAATATTGGTATTCTCATTTCTCAGGGGAGACTTTGCAGACAGTGTGGTTTCTGTTAAAAACATTCACTGCCTTTTCAGAGTTCATTAAATGTCTTTCTCTGGAAGGAAATGGTTCTTCACAGCAGTAATGGTTCCTGGTTATTTGACAAGGGGAGCAGCAGAGGGTGCTGTGGCATGGCCTGCTTCAAAACAGATATGAGGATTCCTTGAAATTTATCTCAAAATTAGTAGATTGGCATTGTCTTCACTTTTCCTTCTTTGTCTTCACTTTCCCTCTTTCTGCTTTATGGTGCAAATACCGTAAAGCACCTAGACTCTATTGGGTAATAAATGCACTTGTCCTTTAAAAAGAATCTATCCATTTAACAGTTGCTTTGGGAAGGAGAAAAAGAAAATAAAAGAAACTTTTATCTTCTTTTTTTTATTTTAGCATATCTGAAGAGAGCAGCAGTGTCCCCGCTGGTAAAGGTGTAACAAAAGTCAGCCGCACCTTCAGCTACCTCAGGAATAAAATGTCCAGCAGCAAGAAGAGCAAAGTAAGTGCTTCTTGTGATTTGTGGAATGCCCATAGGCAGCAGAGATGAGTTCTGTGTTTAAGTCTTTTTCTGACTTAAACTTGGCATGAGTTAGAGCTTTGTAGTGATTAATGAGTCTTACTTTCACAGAACCTGAGAGGTGTTTAATAAAACAAGGACAGGATCCATAAGAAGGGACTGGCTGCCAAAGGCTGTATTGTCTTTTCATCATTTTTTTATGGTTGCCACAAAGTTCCTGTGCACTGCAGAAGTTGCTCAGACAGTGACTTTTAGTGCATAATTAGGCAAATATTTATATTTTTCCCTTTTCTCCATCCTTGAAACCCTGGAATTTAATTTGCTGAAAGTTAAGCCTTGCTCAGCACAGCTGAATTTCCTGGGAATAGTATTGATTACAGAAATAATTACATTAATGCTAAATACTTCACTCAAATGGGCTGTTGTTGCTTTAGATTGTCCCTTGAAGGTTAATACATGTTTGGGGATTTTCTTGGCTTGGTTGGATATTTTTGCTTGAATCTCACCATGATTCATATGTCTGACAGAAGCTCTAATTTCATGATTGTGTCTGAAAATGTTGATAAAGAGTTACTCCAAAATCCCAACCATAACAAGCATTACAAAAATTGCAGCTCATATCAACTCTCTTACTTTTACTAAAAAAAAGCCAAAATATCATTCAAATTACAATTTCTTGTCTGCTCATGGTGAAATGTTTGCATTACATACATTTTAAAGGCTCCACCAGTACATTTAAATAATTTGACCAAAAAATTCGTTGGAACACTGATTTCTTAGAAGCCTTATAGACAAGAAAAACCTGTAAGAGTTAAAAGCAAAACCAACAAAACAACAAACCTTGAATGAGGAAGTTTGACACAGGAAGTTGGTTTCTGGGCTGTCAGGAGGGAGGGAGGCTGCAGTGTCTTTCCAGCTTGGTTTTACTCATCTCCAGACCTTCAGAAATGCAGTTTTTTCAGATGAAATAAAGTAAAATAAAGCACATCTGAACCTACTGACAGCAACAGCTCTTTCAGAAAATGTGGAGAGTTAGGTGAAAGAACATTGAAAAGAAAGGGATGTTTAAAGCATTAACTGGAGGGGATACTGTTGGTGTGAATTTACCCCTGCCTGGCATGTACTTGGTGTTGTTTGGGATTATCAGTGAATCTCTTGCTATTAGCAGAGTGCACCGTTTCACATTTGCAAAGTCTTAAACATGCTCTATCTTTGTCAGTTCAGAAAAAAAAAACCTCTTTTTTTTTTATTCATTTTGGTTGAGAGTTTCTGAGAAATTACAAAAATTGTAATGAGTAATTTCTCTTTTTCATTGCCTTGCATGGTAGTAAGGTAGTGATGTGCCAGCAGGAGCATTTCTGGATATATGGTAGGAGTTGCAAGTTGAAAGGATTAGGAGACAGGGGGTGTATGTGACCTGCAGAGCAGAAGGAGCTCAAACACACAAAACCTCTCTGTCTGGGCAACTTCTGCAGCACTTTGTTGGGTGAAGTGCTGCATAGCAACACTGAGGTATGTTAAAATTCACCTTTCTGCACCCCAAATATCACAGAATGTTTGATTTACTCCCCTTTTTAAAATAGTCTTATATTGACTTGTGACTTGTAGAATATTAATCACATCCTTTTCTGCCTGTATGGGTTGGGTTTTTAGGTTTGATTTTTTTTTTTAGCAGTGGAAGCTAAGGTAGGGCAAGATGAAAGCAATAGCAAAGTAGCTAAAATCATCTTTAAGGAAGTCAGAAATTGTCCTGCCCCTCCCCCTTTTGCTCAACTCCTCCGAGCTGTGCCTCCCCTCCCGGCCCTGCTGCAGCCTCAGCATCGCCATGGGCTAGTGGGGAGCAGCTCCTGGTGGCCAGCAGCTCTCCTGCCCCAGGGGAAGGATGTCGATAAAATGGAATAGATTCTCAGAAGTACCTCAGATAACAGTGAAGCTGGTGGGACTTAAGCACTGGGAGGTAAGAGCTGTGTGGTTCCTGGGGAGCGGGATCCGCTGCCGCGGCGTGCCTGCGGTGCCGCGGTACCTGTCGTGGTGTCTGCTCTGGCACATCAGTTCAGCCACGAAGCCTGGCTTCAAATCTCACTGGCAGCTCCAGCAAAACAGAAATAGTCTTGTTTCTACAGTCCTTCTTTAAATAAAGTTCCAGTAACTGCCACAGGAAAAAAGAAAAAACTGAAAAAAATCTCATTGTAAGACCTTGTCCTTCAGCGGAGCGGCTGGCAGCCCTTGTGTGGAGTTTGCAGTTTCCTCCTTAAAAGTGGTGCACTGATTTCCTGTTTTTCCTGGGGCCTTTCAGCTTTAATTGAAATTAAAATTAGATTTCAGAATTGCTGAGTTTTGCAGTGAACTTCAGGTAGATTTAAAGTATAGGATGGGAAATTTCCTATTAGCTTTCAACAAGATTTGGCTTGAGCTTAGTGTGATCTTTTCTCCTGGAGCTTCACAAGGCTTGGCAGTAGAGCAAAACTCCAGGCATCAACTTGGTACCATCAGCCCAGGCCTAAACTGCAGAGGTTTAGTTCCTGAATCCTGCCAGGCTGGCAGGATATGGTTAAAGATGGGTAGGTCAGTGGATGGAAAATGGGGCTGTGGAGGTTTCTGTGGGGTGGTGTGAGCCAAGCTGATGGCTCAGAGGAGGCAGAGATGAGATGTGATGCAGACTCTTTCTGGCAGGTTTTCAGTTTCAGACAGGATTATTCCATATGGTAATACTCCTAGTTTTGCTTATTTGCAGAACAAAATAGCATTTGGGGCCAGTAAATAGACTTTCTGTTTATGACACTTTGCAGGGAGAGACTCCAGCACTGGCATTTTGCCTGGGATGTGTTGGGAGAGGAGTCCTTAGGCTGAGTTACTCATTATGCGAGTGTCATCCAGGGCTCAGCAGTTTCCCTGCAGTGGCTGCAGAGCTCCATCCCTCTTTAAGTCACTTCATGGCAGTTACTCACATGGGCACCCTCTGCAGCTCCCTGATATTCTGGCTGGGACAGTATTAGGCAAAGGGCTCGTGGCATATAAATAACAAAATGCAAAGATAAGTTGACAGAAGCCTGTACCAGTTTCTGGTTAAGCTTTTCTTTCAGATGCCAGGAAATCTGCAGCAACGGTTAAAAGTAGACAGTTAAGGAGTTAACAGTTAAAAGTACAGACCTGCAGCTGACTTGTATCATAAATGTTTTGTAGGTTGGTACAGGGAAGGATGAGGAGTTGTTGTTTTTCAGAGTTTTTCTCTGGAGTTTCCTTTAAAAATTGTTTGGAAGAATTCCAAATCCATGAAAGGCTGGAGGGAAAAATGTTTTAAATTTTTAGTATTTAGCATTTTCTGTCTAAGGTAGAGATGGAAAAGAAGCAAAATCTCTGCTAAAAGTTGGAGAAGCTGTCTGTGCATGTCATTGTTCCAAAGCTGAGTAGCCCAGACATTGAGCTGTGGCTTGTGGAAGATGAGAGGATCTTTATGGTGTTTGTTGGTGCTGTTCCCCAGCCTCTCTGTGGTGTAGGTCGAGAGTTTGTAAAAGATCCATTTTGCCAAAAACCTTCACGTTGTTACTTGGGCTTGCATGTAACTGTTTAAAAAGTTGCTAGTTTGAAGGAAAACAGAGGTGGAAATATTTTGGCAGTAAGGCTGTAGAGGCATTTAGGAAGAGCTTGTGTTCTCCATCAGAAATGCAGTTGCAAATCATGAGCCTTATGGTTTTGCCTTAAAAATTAACGGTGTTGAAAGTCTGATACACACTGCATGTGGTATTTGTATTTAACACAAATTATTTAAAGTGCTGAGGAGGCTGGTGAGAGCCCAGAAAAAGAAAAGAGGTAAAGTCATTAAACCAAGCACGTATAAAACAAAGGTAGAAGGAAATAGGTGCCTTCAGAACAGACTTCTGCAGTGGTGAGACACCCATGTGAGTCAGTAGTATGTAAATGCACTTCCACAGGGGCTTTTTTAAGGGAGAGCTGTGCAGACACATGGCCATTGTTCAGGAGCACCTGGATCGATATCCTCACCGTGCCAAAGGCAAACACTGAGCAATCTGTAACTAGGGAAGAGACCTCTGCCAAGTGAACAGGCTTTTGGTCATTTTGTCTCGGCAGGAAAAAGAGAAAGATAAAGAGAAGACTAAAGAGAAGGACAAAGATTCCAAGGAGAAGGAAAAAGATAAGAAGCTGTTGAATGGACATCTCTTCACTGCAACCTCTGTTGTAGCCCAAGCAACCTGCTACCACTGTATGAAGCCTTTCAATAAGGATTCGTACTACTGTGCAAGTAAGTCAGGGGGGTTCCCCCCCTTCCTTTTATTTTACATTGAATCTGGCATGGAAAATGCAAACCTTACACTTTATTTTCCTTTTGCTTGAGGATGTAAGGTGGGAGGGAGACTTTGGAGATAAGTGATTCATAGAGCAGTGTGTTGCCTTGTGGAAACTGGACTGAAATGAGTCGTGGCTGCATGGAGGTGTCCTGAAACCTCTTTCCTAAGCCTGAGCTCAGCTATCACAGCAGGCCATGGGGTTTTCTACCTCTTGTTGGGCTCTACCAGTCGGGAGAACTTTGGTTATTTCAGCTGCATGTAGTGGCTTGGAGCTGAGGTGCTTTGATAGGATGGACAAAGGACAGGGACAGCTGGCTTGGATCATGGCTTCTGCTTCCAATGGGGGGGAAAAAAGCCCCACCTATCTGTGGTGTATTGCTTTAATTCTCTGAAATACCACTTTGGTGAACCCACAGTGGGAACCACGTGGTACAAAAAGGAAATACTGACCCTCTGCTCCCTTTGAACAAGAAATTGCATCACAGGTCAAATGACAACTACCTGTGTGCATGTGAGGGACGTGCAGCACAGGACAGCAGGATGGGAACCTCACTGAGGCTTTATGACAGATTGGGCATTTTGTTTTCATTTTTTATCTGAGAAATACTGAAAATACAGACAGCTGTCTTAACTGAGACAGTTTCTCATGCCTGTAGCTCAATAAGGTCAGTGGTGTTTGTGTGGTTGAGACCAGAATGCTGCTTGGTTCATGCAGCAGCCCAAAGCTATAGAATATGCAGACAAAAAACATTTTTTCCCACTATAGCTCAGTGAAAAAAGGCTTTCCTCTCCTCACTATTAGTAATTTTTTACTCCACTAGCCTAGAAATGAGTCAAAGTGACTGCAGGAATTGTTCCAGACTGGAGCCTTCAGTTCCTGCTGGTGGATGTGAGCTGGGGAGGGAGCAGCCAGCTCAACCCCAAATGGCACTTCTGAGTTTCCTGAAAGAGATTTTAGCAGAGTTGTTTGTCTGAGACATGCTCTGTGTCAGCCTGATGGGAGATGTAAAACATCAACAATTACAAACTCTCAAATTTATCCTCTCACTTTCCCCACTTGAATTTTTTAGCAGGTTCTGAAGCCACGTAGAAAATTAAATATATCCCAGTTTTACACTCTGTAAACTCATTAAAGATAAGTTTAAATAATCTTGAATGAGGGAAAATAACCCAACAATGTCATATGTTTTAGCACAGATGCCCTTTCCTTGCTTTCAAGGTACAATGGAAAATTGTTGCAAGTTTTCTGCATTGGCCAGAAAATTAATGTCATAAAAAAATGTTTGATGAAGGCCTCAGTTGAGAGCTCACATCAGCAAGTGTTTCTTCCTCCCATTGCATCTTAAAATCAACCTCAGATGCTTTGGAAATGATGGATGGGGAGCAGCACAGGCTCTGATATTCCTGTGCTGTTCTAGGCTGCTGCTACCACTGCTGCTCTGTCTCACCTATGGGTGACTTTTAATGCCTTTTAAAGCACTGGTTATTTTAAATCAACATCTAAGCTTTTTTTCAGTGATGCCCCCCAGCTTCCTGAAACATCTACTCAAAGCTGAAAGATTGAGCATGCTCTGAAATAAATGGGCAAGAAAAAAAGCCTAATTTTTAGTAGCTTTCTGTCTTTTTTTTTTACTTTTTTAAAGATCATTGATGCAGAAAATGAGGTTTTGGGGGTTTTAGTTACTAATACTAGTGACACAGAGGAGTTAGAGCAGCTTCTTGCTTGCTGAAGAGTTGAATTGGAGGAATAAAGTCTGTACAAACAAATTTTTTAGCATTAAAAAATCCAAGTTTTTTGCCAAATGATACACACTAAAGATCTGTTTTCAGGCTTTCAAGGCTTGAGTGTGAATTTCATTATTCTGAATTGTCTCATTGCCTCTGTTCACGCACCAGAGGAGCAGGTTCTGTTCCTCTTCCTTGTTTGGTCTGAAAACTTACAGTGCTTGTGGGTTTTTGCAAGAGTTTTCAGTTGCTTTGTTCTGTCTTCTCTTGCACAGGAAATTGTGAGACATTGTCAGAAAAGCAGCACCCTATGGCCTTACCCTTATCTCTGTTAAAATATCAGAATTACTGGCTTTTACTGAGTTGTCCCAAATGGTAGAGATTCTAGAAAGCTGAGCACATTTTGTCATTCTGGACATAGAATTTTTTCCTTTCTTTTGCTTCAAGAAATAATTCAGAACTTCACACAGTGTAACATACATGTAAAATACAGTTCATTATCTGTGTTAGTGTTGTCATGAATGAGTGGAAATAATTTTCTCTAAGTTTCTAAACCTCATCTTGAGCTGTGATCTTTCATCTGCCAAAAGAGTTAAAGTCTGAAACCCAATTCTCAACGCTTATGAAAAAACCCCAAGAAAAAAACCCCAGCAGTTTTAAAAACCTTTGAAAACTTTGATTCCCAGAAATCTGCTGGCAGAGATCATGGGCAGACTCAGGGTATTAAAAAAAAAAACAAAAACCCAAAACCAAACCACCCAACTTTTGCTCTGGCATATATGCAGCGAGGGGTGGTGTTAAAGCATGATGGTTTTTGCCTTGGTGAATGTGGTGCTTTTGGACCAAAACTTGAGTCCACATTCCACCAGGAAGTCCCAGGCTCACGGGCATGGTCCCTGGCAGATGCTGCTCCTGCTGCCTTTTCTGGTAACCCTGCAGCACAGCAGCACTTGGGTCCTGTGCTGTAGATCTTATCCATGATGTCTGAGTTTGTGTAAAAGAATTTCCCCATCCCCTTCCTGTCTTTTAGATCTCATAGTCCTTGTCTTGATGAGAACAGTATCTGTCTTTTCAGAGATATACTGGCCCTGCAATTGGTTTCTGTTTCTGTCTCCTGCTTCTGCTCTCCATCTTACTTTCAGAAGGATAATGCCATCAGGGTTTTGGTTTTTTCCCTTTTTTCTTTAATCTAAGACTCCTGGCTACTCAACCTTACATTGAATTTTAAACAGAATTTCCTGTTAAGTTCTGTGAGGAAATCTTATTAACAAACAAAGGGCTAATTATCCTGGAAAGCAGCCTCTATCTCAGTATTTGTAGCTACTTGTGTAAACCACAATGATGCCTTAAAAGTTAGAATTTAAGTCTCAGGTTAAGTTAACAGTTCAGAAGACAAACAGCAAAAACTGACCTGTTTTCTGTGGGGTTTTGTTAATTCATTGTTTTTTGGTTTGTTTTGTTTTTGACAGACTGTAATGCAATAGTTCACAAAGGCTGTAAGGAGAATTTTGCTTCTTGTGCAAAGGTCAAAATGAAGGTAAGAGATTTCATCTACTCTACTGAACACATATATATGTAACACACTTTCTACCACAAGTCACAAAGTTTCCAGTTTGTTGTAAAGAACTTCAGCCCCAGTGCTGAAGCTTTCACATAATGAAAACTGTTAAATATACTGTTTATATGAGCAACACACAGATTTCATGCATACCCCAAATGCAAGGAACCTGCTTCTGAAAGTTAAATAATGTTTGTGCAATTATGATTTCAGTTCACTTCAGTATTGTCATCACTTTCACATTTTTGTATTTCCTGCACATTTCTCCATCTGTTATTTTGCCTATTTCATTCAGAGCAAATTAAAAATATATTTTAAAATACAGATACACTGAAAGGCTATAGGAAAAAAAATAGCTTTTTTTGGTTCTAGTTATATGGCACAACCTTCTGGGGGAAGGGAGGAAGAAAGTAAAATTAATTTCATTTTTCTTTCAGCCACAGAGAGGGATGCTGCAGGCACATGATACCTCTTCATTACCCACAGTAACCATGAGAAACAAAAGTAAGACAACTTCTTTCCCTCTGCTTTGGGTGTGGTCTGTGTCTACTGTTCTTAACTGTTCTGACAACTGATACTTGATATTATGAAAAATAAGCTTTTAACCAAGCAGGGATTAGAGCATCCTCTGTGCATACTAAGCAATATTTGAAATTTCAGAAGTTGTACTGAAGTTGTACAGAGTTCATCCCATTCTGCAGTGTCTCTGTAGCTTCAAGGAAATGTAAAATCATCTCAGATTTAGAAAAAGCACTTGTCTGTTGTAGCTTGCTGAATGCCTACACCTGATAAGGCCACAAAATGGAATATGAAGTCCATGGGTGTCTGACATGGGAAAGAATCCAACTATAAGTATTAAGTGGAGAGAATTCAAAACAGAATTATTTTTGTTTTGATTAGTCTTGGGCTTTGGTGTAGGCAAAATAGAAAGTTTGAGTAGGAAGAATACTGTTCCTGACTTTGCTGAGATACACACTGAACTGCAGAATGACCCAGTGTGACCAAGGATAAATAACAGGTGTGAAATAGCTCAGATTGGTTTTATAGGGCCATGATTTGATACAATTAAGTGATAAGCTTTCATAAGATAAATGATAGCTTCTATGGAACCACTATATAGTAGTTGTAATCACTGTGGTGTTTATCATGGAGTTCAGAGGGGTTGCTCCAGAGAGCAGAAATGCATCTGAAGAAGAAAAAATCTGGAATTAATATGACCAGATTAGTTAAAGGTATGTGATGGTATAATGAAATCAGGATTATCATCTCTCTGTGGTGCATACTGATAAGAGAAACCTATCTCAAAAAGTTTGACCAGAAACAGCAAGATTTATGTGACTATGGGCCCAGGGAAATAAAAAGGCAACAGGGTGAATTGTGACATGTGACTGATTATCAAAACAGTTAAATTCAGTTTCCCACATGTGTTTCTGGAGTTTCAGGTCCCACCTGGGTATTTCAAGCATAGTGCAGTGAGTTCTGCACAGGGGTCAATGGTCTTCCCTTCCTAAGGCTGTTCCTTACATCCCCTGGTGATGATTCTAGAAAGAAAAGGCAGTGAATTTCAGGGTCTGGATCCTCCTAAGTCATCATCATGCCAGTTAGGAGTGGTTAAGGTGTTTGCATGGGCTGACTGTTCTCCCACCCTTCCCTTGCAGGCTCGCAGCCGAAGGAGCGCCCGCGCTCCGCCATCCTCGCTCCCGATGAGAGCACCGTCACCTCCACCTTCAACAACAGGAGATCACAGCAGCCCACTGCACTCTCCAAAAGTGTCTCCATACAGAACATTGCAGGGTAAGGTTCCTCCCTGCACACCTGGCTCTGTGTGTGTGCGTTATCTGACTCTGCTGACGTAAAGAAATCCAGATCTCACTAAAAATAAGCTCGCGTGCGGTGACTTGCATTAAAGGGACAAAAGGGATCACAAGCAGAGAGATAGCCATGTTCTGTATGATACCATTGGTTGTCTTCTGCACAATCTGATTGTCTGAGCGAGTTTAGCCATGGCAGGAATTCAGAGGCTCAGCTGGGATGGCCTGGTAGATTCAAGGCCACTTCACAGGGATGCTCTGGGCTCCTAGGAAGAAATTCCCTTGCCTTGGGCCAGATACTGTGCAAGCACACATTTGCAGCTCAGGTATAGGATTAACTTTTGTGTCCATAACAAGAGGGTGAAGGCACAGAGCTGCAGTCTTCCTGTTTTTAGGCTGTATTATGCATAATTCATTACAAGAAAACACAGAAGAAAATTCACTTTATGTTTCCTACCGTACTTGCATATTGAGCAGTTTTACCTGTGAGGCAGTCGCAGGGACTGGCATATTCTGGGCAGTTTAAATGTCCTGGCTATTCATGGGGAATTTAATTTCAGTCCATTTTCTGATCTTTCTCAGAGCTAGTGATAAGGACTCTTGTATAGCCTTTGGTGTTGCATTTTTTCACACTGTTTGCTTCAAGGGCAGTGAGGATGGGACGTGACTGGAATGGAGTTATCCAAACTATAAAACCTCAGGAGTGGTTCTTTATGGAAAGCATCGTCGCTCACAACTATAGCACTTACAGCTTCTCAAGCTCCAGTAGTTAGTAAACAACTCATAAAAGCACATTTCTGTACGTAATCGTGCAGTGCTGGCTTTGTTTTTCAATTCATATTTAAAATGCATTTATTCTGCTTATCTGAAAGTACATTTGGCTGGGTTTTTGTCATAAACAATATTCTGTGTTCTGTTTTTCTGCAGAGTTGGGAACGATGACAACTTAATACACACTTGGAAATTCCTGTCGCAGTCAACAGACTCTTTACATAAAATCAGCCGGGTTAATGAGTCCATGGAGTCACTGGTTGATGAAGGTAAGAGATCTCCATGGCATTTATAGGAGAAGGAAGGTCTCAGTGCTTCTTCCCAGAAATAGAAAATCCATTTTCATCAATTGTCTTCTTTTATAATGGACAATTATAGTGCATTTATTTTAATCTCAGAATATTAGTATGATAAACTAAATCAAAGCCCCACATAGTAATTTCTTTAGCTCATTGAATTATGGAAAAACATTTAGAAGGTTTCAGTTGCCATTGAGTTACTTGGAATTTAGCTCAGGGACAAATATTTCCTCTTCTGTTGTGGTTTTTTACTTAACTGCAATGTCGTTTCATGGCAGATTAAGAATACATTATCTGAGCTAGAATTTGATCTCTGTAAAAATGATGAACGGGAAACTAGGAAATAACCTTTAAAATTGTGTTTCATAACTAGTCTTTATGTGGTATGTGATTATTTGTGTCAGTAAAGGAGAATGTGTGTGATGTCTGTGGTGTGACTGACAAAACCTAAACCTAAATAATTAGACAGGAATCTCAAATGGAACAAGTTACCCACCTCTTAATGGCACTTACATTGCTTTGTGAAGGTGCAGACATGAATGAAGGACAGCTCATGGGAGACCTGGAATTAGATTCCAAGCAGCTGGAGGCAGAGTCCTGGAGCCAAGTAGTGGACAGCAAGTTCCTGCAGCAGCAGTACAAAGACGTTGTCAAACGGCAAGATGTGATTTATGGTGAGACGTCTGCGCCTTCACTTTTCACTCACTGTAAACAGCTCCTTGATCTACTCACATGCATGGGTTTGGGAAGCTTTAGCCTTGTGCATAGGAACATTGCTTTGGTTTCCTCAAAAGCCCAACTCTCATTCTTGAAGTTCCTAGAAATGTAATGTATTCTGTGAAAGCTGCCTTTCTGCATTTCACATATTCAGAAGCCATCAAAAAACCCCAGAAATTGCCTCTCCTTATTTGTCTGCTTATGACTGTGAAACTGGGTTCCAGCACAAGCAGCTAACTAGGAAGTCTCTTCCTGAGGGATTCAGGAGCCATCCTGTGTGGCAGAAGGGAGGTATATGGAGGCTAGCAGTGAGGTGTTAGGAAGGAGAAGATACCAGGGCTGAAGGCAGAGACCCCAGCAGCAACATCCAAAGCTCTCTGTTGTGGGACGCCTCTTCCCCCCTATTTCTCTCACACATGAAACTCCTGACTGATGTTACAATTCCTGACATGAAGTTTTCTGAAGCCACTTAGAGAAAGCCAGTTATGGAAAAGCTTTCTAATGGCAACTTTTCCTTGTGCTGTAACCAATGAACTCTTGTCCTCATCCTATCCAGAGCTGATGCAGACAGAAATGCACCACGTCCGCACCCTGAAGATCATGAACGATGTGTACAGTGCAGCCATGTTAAAGGAACTGCAGTACGATCAGCAAGTTGTGGACAAGATCTTTCCCTGCCTGGAAAACTTGCTGCACATCCACAGTCAGTTTTTCCAGCGGATTCTGGAAAGGAAGAAGGAGTCACTGGCAGACAAAAGTGAAAAGAACTTTGTTATCAGGAGGATAGGTGACATCCTAGTGAATCAAGTAAGTGCTGGAAAATGTTTGCAGTTCTGAGAACGCAGCTGGAAGCCAGATGCTTTTCCTTCCCTCCTGTTTCTGCCTGTCAGATAAGCACAGCTGATGGCACCTTTAGTCTTCACACATAAATCTCTGCCTCTATTTTTTCAAGCACTTCTTCTCTTTCAAAGGGAGGTCCACTGTTGAAAATTAATTTAGTTCATTATGTGGGAAAGAAAAGCGTTCACTGACAGGCACAAACCAGTTTGATCACAGACTGGAGTGTAGGCAGGAGCTCACAGCAAAATATGCCCAATGCATTTATTGGCTGCATTACTGACCTGGTGTTTAACTCGGGGTGGGTCATTTTACTTTTCTTTATCCACAATTTCTGTCTTCTTTTTGTCTGTCTTGACTTTTTTTGTGGTTGGCTTTTAAGCCTTGTGAGTGGAGTTGCAAATTTTGCTGTAGGTGTGAGCTCGGTGAAGCCCCCAGATCAGCTCTTTACTCTCTAGAGATCTGCTTGCATGGTCGAGCATGCTTAGGACTAATCTGATTTCATCAAGCTCTTCTGAGAGCCTGGCAGGCACTGCTGGGATGTCACCCCAGGAGTTCAGGGCAGGTTGGAGCTGTGTGTCCCATTCTTTGCAGTTCTCTGGGGAGAACGCTGAGCGAATGAAGAAAACATACGGCAAATTCTGCGGGCATCACAACGAGGCTGTCAATTACTTCAAAGACCTTTACTCGAAGGACAAGCGCTTTCAGGCATTTGTCAAGGTAGGACCTGGCAGGACTGATGTAGCTGATGGAAAAAATGTGTACTTTTTGCACTCTGGCAGAGTGTTTTGCTGCAGAACTGAACTTTTCATCTTTGTTTTTTAGAAGAAAATGAGCAGCTCCCTGGTGAGGCGTCTGGGGATTCCTGAATGTATCTTGTTGGTAACACAGAGAATCACAAAGTACCCGGTCCTTTTACAAAGGATACTGCAGTACACCAAAGGTAGGGACCAGTTCCTCTATTCTCAGCACGTATTTGTTTGTCCAGTGTGAAGTTTGGATCCTTTACAGCTGAAGCAGATTTTCTTACCAGCTAATCCAGTCATTGTTGTCTCACATCACTGCAACAAGATAACTCAATTCCATACTTCCATTTAGGATTAGTTGTTCAGGGACCTTGATTTAGTTGCTAGAAGTCGAAATTAGCTGTAGCTAATTATGGAGCAACATGCCTAGACTCCAAAGTCTCCCAGCTTGCTTTTTTTGGTATTGGCTAAAATAAGTAGTTAATTTGTTCATTTCATCTCTGCTGTCTTATATGCAAAGTATTCTCCAGCCTCAACCATGTATATGGAAAAGGTTTTGTGAAACTCTCATTAAGGGGGAAAAATATATAAGTATTAAAAAGCTATAATGTGGGAACTTGGGAGAAGAGGAAGGAAGGAAGTAAAATTGGGAAGTTAGACAGACAAAGTCAAATAGAGATGTTTCTTTTTTTAAAGAAAATGAAGTGGAACATGAAGACTTGAGTCAGTCACTAAACCTCGTTAAAGACGTGATTGCTGCAGTCAATAGCAAAGTCAGCAATTATGAAAAGAAAATGCGTCTTGGGGATATTTACAACCGGACAGACAGCAAGTCCATCATGAGGATGAAGAGCGGCCAGATGTTTGCAAGAGAGGACTTGAGGCATCGGAAACTCATCCGAGATGGGCCTGTTTCACTAAAAAACTCAGCTGGGCGGTTAAAAGGTAAGACTGTCCTGTCTGCTGCTGTGGAAGGATGCAGCTCATCTTCTCTGGGTGTAGGATTAATCCTCAGATTGGTGCCTCCACCCTTGATTTATTCTTCTGCTTTGATAGATTGTACCCCCACTCCCCATTGCATTTCCAGTTTCTTGTGTGGGTTCTGGAGTGATACAGAGCTGCTTTTCCTCTTGGTGACTGTGTGCCTGCTGAGGGCTGGGGTGGCAGTGACACCTCAGTGTGTCAGCCAAAGAGCAGAGTTGCTCTGGGATGCTCTGGACCAGGAGGACACCACGGGGGCTGCAGTTGCCCAAAGCATGGAGTGAGAACTCCATGCCTGTGCCACAGTTCCAGGAGTTCTGCTGGCTAAATCTGGAGCCTAGCCTCAACTTTCCAGGCCTTTCCTTCCCTCTGAGGGCTGTGGCTGGTCTGCAGCAGTACCAGCCCAGTTGCACTGGGATCCAGGGAGATGTCCCAGGCATTTGTTGCTCTTGAACCTCTTGAGCTGTAGACACAAACTGTTCAGGAGAGACTCTGGTGTCCCTGCAGCTGCTTCCTGTTGGGTCAGTGTTTTCTTGAGTTGCTTTTTGTTTGTTATCAGGTGGAAGTAGCTTTTTTAAGATGCTATACACTGAAGTTCTCCACTGAATTGAACACTAAATCTCCTAAGGAATCTTTCAGCTGGGACCATGGCAGCAGTGCCTCAGGCTTGGCAGGAAGGCTGGGCTTCCTTTCCTCCCTGCAGCATTAGCTGATTAAATTATGGTCTGTGGGCATGAATGGGGCCTGGGAGCCTGATGCCTTGCTGTGCAGGGAGGTGGTGATAACATGGAATTCTGTGTGGGGTATGATTTATTTTGAGGTTTTGGAAGCAGGAAGTTTACAGATGATTTCTAGGCACTCAAAACTACTACTGCCTTTAGATGGTGGGTGAAGCAAGTTCTGCTGCTGTTGTGAAATTGTGATAAGCACAATCTCCATTTGCATTTCTTAGTCATAGAAATGCACAAACATGTCCGTACTGCAAACCCCCAGGGAAAGTGGGTCCTGCAGGCAGGCTGCAGACCCAGGGAGAGAGTAGATCATTCATATGTTCAGGTTATTTTGTGGTGTTGGACATGGAGTACCAAAAATTATAGGAAGAGCTTTTGTTTAAGGGTTTTAGCATTTCCCCTTTTGCAAAGTGCATGGAACAGAGAAAAAGGCAGTCAAATGCCACCTTCTGAAAACCTCCCAGAGCCTGGATTTCATTTTGCAGCTTTGCTTGAAGTTTAGTGGTTCTTTTATCTGGAATGGATTCTGTCTTCCCAAAACAGACTGGAAGGATTTACCCATGGGATGATTTAAATTTTTGGTTTGCTTCCTTTCTGTCACAAGATTTCCCAAGTACATTACACAAAACCTCTTTGTACCGAGGGGTCTGGGTGGGGCATTACACTTGGTAGTTGCTGTGCAACTTTATGATATGTTATTAGGAGACTTGGAAGGCTCTACGTGTACTCTGGGAAAAGACTGATTTAAAATCCTCTGTTGGCTTGAGGTTGTGTTTCCTTCTCCCGTGAAAGAAAGCCAGGTCCTGTGTTTCACTCAGGCTCCCTTCAGAGTTGTGTTTGTCTGAGAGCAGAATTACTGGTGGCTCCTGAAGTCAGTATTTCCTGGGAAAGAAACTGCAGCTGACAAATGTTGTTATTGCACGATAATTTACACCCTGCAAACCACTCATCAAGAGAACCATAAAACCCAAAACTTCCTGTGCAGATATTTTGCTTGAGGGCTGAAATATTGATTGTTTGAGAAAACAGAGCTATTGAATAAATGTCTGTGGCTTTCACTGTTATGCCCATGTCTCAACTGGTAGGGAGCATGTGGCTGGAGAGGAGCACCCCTTCTCCAATGGGTGAGAGCAAATCCTGCAGGATGCCCAGGTGCTGATGTGGCCTGCTTAATGCAAAGCTGGTTCAGAGCTAACCTGATCTGGCATCTCCAGGAACTGCCCTTGCTCCTCCTGCCAACTGGGAAGTTAATCCTGCTTCCAGGATTTGCAAAACCAGCCCTGCTGTTCCCCAGTGCTGGTGTTATTACAATAAATTTGTTAAAGGGTGGATTGTGTGGCTGTACTGCACTGCTGTGCTTCTTCTTTTGCAGAAGTCCAGGCTGTTCTCCTCTCTGACATGCTCGTGTTCCTTCAGGAGAAGGACCAGAAGTATGTCTTTGCCTCACTGGTAAGATTTCAACCTTTTTTCCTTCTTACTTTTCTATGTGAGAGACCCGTGATGTTGTGTTGTGCAGCAGAGACAACAATTGCCTGCTAAACAACTTAATTTTCTTGCTCGGAACATTTTTGTTTGCTGAGCAGACTCCGTTCTTTTTGATGGGAAAACATGTCCTCATGCCCCACCTCCCCTTCCTGCAGTGCCTTGGCACAGCTGATAATTGGCCTTGAAAACCTGCCTGTCACTCGAAACACTTGTGCTTTGCAGTTTGTGCACACTGGAGCAGTGACAGGGCTGGGAGGGGGTGAGCAAACATTGTAAAAATGAACCTCAGCAGAAGGAAATGTCCAAAAACGTTGTGAGTTGCTGTGGGGGGCAGTGAGGTGAAATGCCAGGGCAGTAAATTCAACAGAACAACATGAAAATAAATGTCAGAGAAATATATTTGTAATGTGAAGGAGCAAAAGCATTAGGTTTGAGGGCAGGCCCTTGAAAAGGGCTGGGCACATTGACCTCCTAAAAAAACCTGGTGTCTAATGGAGTCTGCTGGGCTGTACCTTCCAGGCATGGTCTCGACTGGCTAAACCTTGTGACCTTTCCACTCTTTGAGCATTTTGAAAGCTGATAATTTGTTATTCCAGTTCCACCAACCCTCTGCACGGGCTCAGTGCCCTACACAGGGGAAGCTGATTTGCATACAAGTCCTGCTAGTGAAGCAGATTAACCCAGTTGGAGCGTGTGGTACAATGCTCAAAGGGGCTGCCTCGGCTGCAGATGACACAGCAGCCTGGGGATGTTGTAACCCAGCAGGCTGATGACACAGAGACCATAGCACATGGTGAACATCACCTCACACATGAGTTCTCACATAGGAGTCATCTGTGAGTGTCTGAGAACAGCAGAGGTTTTGTGGGATTTGAAGATAAGACTTTATCCTGGAGAGAGATGGTGAAGATTCTGTGTGTGAAGCAGGCTAGCAAGCTGCACCAAGTGTAAAGAGCTGTGATATTAATGACAGGGGGAGTGTGGTTAGTAGGAAATGAGATCAGAGCAAAATACGGTACAGTTTACAAAACCACAGTTAATTTGAAGTAAGTTCTTTCTTGAAATGGAGTGAGGTAAAATTGCTTTTCCTACAGAACTGTTAGAGGAAAGCAAACCCATCCCTTTTGTTTGACCCCATTGAAATTATTTCAGTTTTTTTTAATTAGCCAATATGTTCAGAAAATGTTTACATACCTGAGAGATGTAGCACTATGGTTTATTGGGACCTTTTCTATGCTAGTTTAAATCTGGGAGCTAGCTGTGGTCACCCTCCTCATCCATTTCTTTCCATCTGAAGGACCAGAAATCCACAGTGATCTCTCTGAAGAAGTTGATTGTACGAGAAGTAGCTCATGAAGAGAAGGGTTTGTTCCTGATCAGCATGGGTGGAAAGGACCCCGAAATGGTGGAAGTCCATGCCAGCTCCAAAGAAGAGCGCAATGGCTGGATACAGATCATTCAGGACACAGTGCACACCATGTAAGACACTCAGCTGCTCTTGTGAGGCAGGGGGTGCACTGGGTGTATTCCTGTAGTAATTGAGCCATGTCTCCTGTCCAGGGATAGAGATGAAGATGAAGGAGTCCCGTGTGAGTCTGAGTTGGAAAAGAAATTGTTTGATGCAAGAGTGAGAGGACTGAAAGGTAAAATCTGCCTGGAACAGAGCTGGGGAGCCATAGTGGAAAAATGTACGGGAGTTTTTGGGTTGGGTTTTGTGGTTGAACTGTGACTTTTCTCAATCCTGCACCTAGCAAAATAACTGCAGTCCTGGTTTGCAGCTCGCCTTCCTTGCATTATTTATTTTCCGAGCCTGCTGTGCCAGATTGCCCAGGGCATTGTCGTGCTGCCAAACCCAGCAGATATTGTCGTGCTCCACTAGATGGGGCCAATATCTCAGGAATCGCTCAGGTTTCCTTGTCAAAGCTTTTATTTTCTGTCTTCATCCCTGTTTTCTGTTGACCCCCACAGAACAACTTCAGCAGAAGGATAAACAGATCCTGCTCTTGCTGGAGGAGAAGACGAAGATCTTCCAGGACATGGCAGACAGTTCTGTGCAGGAGGAGACGCCAAGCTCCAGGCTGCTCTTCAGATCCAGAACAGAAGAGGCTCCAAAAGGAGAAGCAATCATGAAAAGTGCAATAAGTGAAGGTGAGCCAGTCATGTGACATGTAAATTATAGCAACCAACTATAATTGGTTACATTCAGTGAAGGCATCAGTTCTCAAGCACCAGTTTTGCAGGGGATGTCTTCTCTTTGTCAGAATAACATGATAAGGAGAAACTGCTCTTCATGGTGTTGTCTCAGGGGCAGGTGATGAGGATCAGGAAAGGAAGCAGATATTGGGGGTGTTGAAATAGGGCAGGAAAGTTAGCACAAAGAAAACCATACATTGGACCTGCTTTGGGGTCAGGACCAACATGGGATTAATCCTTGGCAGAAATTTGGACCATCCAGGCTTTTGCTGTTCTTCAGTCTCAGCAAGATATGAGGGTGGGGCTTGGGTTCCAGGGTGGTGCCTGCAAGGGACAAGCAGGTGTTGACAACGGCAAGGGGAGATGGAAACTCCAGTTACTTTCCAGTATGATCTTTGGAGGGGCTAAAATTACTAAATGGTGTTGTCAGAGGTTGCCTGAGGGAAGAGAGGGAGGTGTAAGCTTGTGCAGAGCTCCGAGAGTTGGAGTAAGTGGTCAGAGTGAGTTTTTGCAGGGGCAATGTGTGCTGTTCATGTGATTGTCACAGAAACCTAGATTCTTTGTACACCAAACAATTTCTGATCTGAGCTCAGGCAGGGATGAAAACAGCTCCGAAACCTGAGGTGGGCTTTAACAAAGTCATTGCTGCTTTTTATCAGTTGAATTACTGCAAGACCTGGTGAACAGGAGCCTGGGCACTGCCCTTGGACAGCAGGTCAGCAGCACTGCCATGGATCAGGAGGGAGGGGTTGGCCCCATCTCACTCCCTAGAAGGGCAGAAACTTTTGGAGGATTTGACAGTCACCAGATGAATGCCTCCAAGGGTGAGTAGTTCTGTGTGTGCACTTCAGAATTTGTTAATAATATACATCATCATATCCTCTTGCTTCAGAAGGGCTTCAGCTGGTGGTTTGGGTTTCACAACTCCTCTCCAACAATAGTTGATACATTAAATCACAGATTAGGTAAAAAAGCCTCTGTACAGGTGGGTTGATGGTAGCTGAGAACCTGTGGCTATATGAGATTTAAACATTTGAACTGTTCACTCCTCTCTGTGCTCTCTCTGAGTAATACTTGCTATTTTACTTACGTGCCACATGAAAGCATTTAGCTTCTCAATAAATTAGTTTCTTCATGTTATTGCAATATTTACAGGTTTGTTCTTTGTTCTTCACCTTTCTTCCCAGTAAGAGCTTGATGCTGTTGCATTTACAAATGGATGTGGATATTGCTGAATCAAACACCTTCTCCCCTGTCCCTGCTCTCTATGCATTTATGTTCCACCTACATCTGCATGTATTATTCCTCCAATTAAGTCTCTCCCAAAGAAATGCGTGACTACTTATTTCAGCTGCATAGTTGGCTGCTTCCCAATGCCCTCTTTCTTTGCTCTAGTCATCAGAAACTTCCCTGTCCTCAAATTCCTTTCTCTGTGGTCGCACTCACACTCCCAATACAACCAGTTTTGCTGTGCTAGTGTCTGTCTCAGCACTGAGATTGTTGGACCTCGTCTGACCTCCTGCATTAAAGGAGCAGTGTTAGCTCCAGACAGTCAGACATGAGAACTATGTGGAGGCTTTCCCTGCTCTACTGGAGAGCTGCAAAGCCCTCCACAGGCCTCGTCATCATCATGACAAATACACTGACACTGGAGGGGTTTGTTGAGGGTTGTGCCTCTCTCTGTTGCAATGATGAATGGGACAACCTCAGGCTGTTGCCCACATCTAAGTTTTCTGTAGAAATGCTCTCTGATTCTAACTCAGTAGTTGTAGGGTCTTGGGAGATTTTGGGAAAAGAATGTAGGGCCTATTTGTTCTGCCCAGGAGGTATGAAACCTGGCATTCTCTGCAGTTCTTCTGATCACAACCTGTGAAACCTCGGGCCAGGCTTATAACATGACTCCCCTTCATTCTCCCCTCCAGCAAAGCAGAAGGGAGGAGTTTCCTCCTGCAGAGAGGTGGAAGGTCCCAGGACGTGGCGCAGGAGAGCAGGTCTGTTAGGACTTGAGGGTCAGCCTCTTGTAGCAGGGCCAGTCTCAGGGGTGGGGGGAGGAGAGGGCCTTTACACCAGGTGTGTTGTCCTTCACACAGCTGCAGATTCAGGTTTATGTAAAGTTATTTATCTTTAAGAGTGGCAGAAGGAAGGTTGCCACTGCAGGTGTGGGTTTTCCCTATGGGCTGCATCTCAGCTGGCAATGGGAGTACAAGAGTTTTGTCAGGAGCTAGGGGATGGAAGGTCTGTGTGACTCCTTTTGAGCAGAAAGGGCAGCACAGGGGAGGGTCAGAGCCCTCCTGTCCCCACAGGTCAGCTGAGTCCTGTTCAGGAGCACTGATATGAGCTGTCCAGGAGGAAGTTAGAAAGAGAAGGCCAGTGTCCCTTTGAAGATCCAGGTATCTGATAGCTAAGGTTAATGATAAATTGTTAGCATAGAATTACACAGGGTGTTGCACAGCAGTATCTGACCCAGATGTAAATTAACTTGCACAAGAGAGGCATTGAAACTATACCTGCAATAATACACCCTGATATGATTCTGTTATCATCCTCCATCTGCTCTTATGCTGCCTCATGTCTTCTCAGCAAGTATTCTGTGGTAGTAGTATTCTGCAGGGGCTAGACAGAGCACCAGTTAATAGCAGTGTGCTGAATTTATCAGCACGTTCTCTGAAACCAAAGTCAACCCTAATCTAAATTCACATCCACTTTTTCTGGTAGTGCTGACGTGTTCCGTATATTTAGGGCTCAAATTCATTTAGTTAAAATGTCAAGAGCTCTGTGTCCTCTTTTGTGAAACATGTGAGTTTCCTGTATTAAATTTCTCAGACTTTAGCAAGTTCATCTCTGCCTTAAAATGAAACCAATGTCAATGCTGGCTTCTTCCTTTAGGTGGAGCGAAAGATGAAGGTGATGACGCTCAGGACCTTCGGAGAACAGAGTCAGACAGCATTTTAAAGAAGGTACAGCTTGGTTTGTGTGTCTGCCACTACTGAGTTCAGATTCCAAGAGTGACAGCTCTAGCCTTGAAAAATGCCTGAAAGTTTTTTGACAATTAGCTACATCCTAATGAGTTAAAAATAAAATAAAACATGAAATATGCACCCAAAGCCACTGACCTGAAAACCACTGCAAATCAGTTATACTCCTTGGTGGCACAGGTTAGCTACCATCTGTCTGCAGGTCAGCCAAAGCATGTGTTTAATTTTGCATTGTTACTGAGTTTATAAGGTCAGCTACAACCTTGAACCTTTTCTTTCTGGGGATCAATCCATCACATAGCTGCAAAATAACACCTAATTAACATTTTGTTCTATATGATTCTAAGTGGCCTAAAAACATGCATGAATTCTCCCAAAATGGAGGGTGGAGGGGAGTATTTAATGGATGTGTCATTAGTTCAGCTTCAGAAGACGTTTGCTATGATTTTTCATTGTCCTCATATTAAATTTGTGATCTTGTCATAGGGTGGAAATGCTAATTTGATGTTCATGCTGAAAAGGAATAACGAGGTAAGAATTGATTCCATTGCTCAGCTGTTCCCTTCATTTAAGTGGCTAGAGAATTTGTCTCAATAGGTGATAATGTAGAAGAGAACACATTTAGTTTGCTGAAACACATCTAGACTTTTAAATACATTAAGTTGAACCCACTGTGTCATTTATTTGTTTAACCTTGGATGTTTAGACAGGGAATTCACTGATTGTCATCTGCTTGCCAGCAAGATGATATGTGCTGATTATAAACAGCAAGGGTTAATTACCACCAGGATGCACAGGGCTGTATTTATTGTGCATCTGCAGACAGAGAGAGTTTAATTTTATGTTGCAGGTGCAGTGAATTGGGGCAATTAGATTTCTATTCTCCCTTTGATACACATTCATAACTCCCAATTAGCATTAATGACAAAATGAGAAGCAGTTCTCTTAATACTGGCTATCACTCCACTACTGCAAATACTGAAGTGCTCTTTTTTCTTCTTGAAATTAATTGTAGGATATGAGAGATTCAGAGAAATTTTTAGCTAGGCTAAATTTAGGGATAGGGCATTACTCCAAAGTAGCTTGCTCTGTATTGATGCATGAGGTGTTTGCATTTCTATATTTTCAGAAAGCCTCCAAGAACACACCTGCTGCACTTGTGTGCCTGCTGTAGTGCAGCTTTTCTGCCTTGTGGCAGTGGGTTTTGTATGGGTCAGCTGGGGGGGAAGGGTACAAATAGTCCACATCTATTTAAAGATTGCTTTTTTTCTTTCGCCCCTTGCATTTTTTTTCCTGAAATTTCTAAGTGAACTTCTAGGCTTCATCTCAATTACTCAGCTTGTTCTTGAGCAAGCTGATGCTGTGGGAAATGGTTAGCAGAGACAACGCAGGACTTCCCATGAGCTCTGTGCTGGGTGGTGCCTCTGGAGATGTTCCTTCCCCTGCTGCAATGACAGCTAGGGAAGGGAGGAAGGTGATGCCAGGCGCTTCTGGGAGATGTTCAAGGGATGTATTGGTGTACTGGGGATTGATGCAGTCATTGCAAGGGAAGAGTGAGGAAAAGCAGGGTGCAGAGGGATGGCTGTGCAGCTTGTCAGACCCACTGGTGGGACACAGAGCAAGAGAGGGTGCTGTCCACAGCACTCAGTGAGATCTAACAGCAACACCTCTGTTTTCTCACAGCAGGTCCTCCAAACCATTACCAGCCTCCATAAGCTGCTCAGTGCTTTGCAGGTAGGCTTAGCTGTTCATCCTGCTCCCACACACTACTTGCCTGGGCTGCCAGTCGTGCTTTGCCCCTTGTCTCCCCTTCTCGTGTCACAACCCTGCATGGCTGAACACCCCAGGGCCAGCTTGCAGGCTGGAATGAGCTGCTGCCTGAGGGAACCAGTGCTGGCCTGAATTTGGGAAGCTGCTGGGGGAGGTGCTTTGCCAGTATGCTCTGGTAACCAGGCAGCAGTGCTGGGCTCCAAGTTTGGTGGGAGAAGAAGGGGTTCAGTACAGCACTCTGAGATTTTCAGGGATGGACCTCTCCCCACAGAGGATGCTGCAGTGATCTCTGTCTCCTCTCTCCCAGGGCGTGGTGCTGCAGCAGGACACCTACGTGGAGAGCCAGAAGCAGTCTCGGAGCGAGAAGGCTCCCAGCCGAAGCTCATCCCGGCACACCTCGCTGGCGGAGCAGGAGAAGCAGCGCAGCCTGGAGAAGCAGCGCCAGGAGTTTGCCAACCTGAAGAAGCAGCAGACACAGCACCAGGAGGAAAGGCAGAGGAGGGAGAAGGAATGGGAAGTGCGGGAGAAGGAACTGGCAGAGCACGAGGCCGAGCTGGCCCAGCGTGAGGAGCAGGTGCAGAGGCTGAGGCAGGAGCTGGAGCGGGAGCGGGAGGAGCTGCAGGTGAAGAAGACGGCCTACCAGCTCGACCTGGAGAGGCTCCGCATGGCACAGAAGCAGCTGGAGAGGGAGAAGGTGCAGCTGAAGCAGGACGTGGAGCGATTCGCTCAAATGCGGCAGGAGCCTGACCACAACCAGGTAAATGATGCCAGCAGCCAGGCTCCTAGGGAGGCTGATCCCTGCAGGGAGCTCCCAGCCAGCTCCTGGGTGAACTGCATGCCCCTCAGAGGGCACACAGCTGGTGCCAGCCCAGCCCCAGACATGTGGGGACTGGCATTTAAAACTGGCTCTTCACTTGCATAGGATGCACAGTGCTGCACTTTTTGCACCTCTGGAGCTGCTGAGGCACTGGCAGTATTGGTGCTTCACAGTGTCTTGGGGGTGCCTGGCCAGTGCTGGGCATCCTGAGCTCTGCCCCCTTCCCTGTGTGTGTGTGTTGGGGATGGCAGAGAGGAGGTGGCAGGCTCCCAGGGAAGATGTCCCAGGGGTTGACACTGCCTGATGTTGGCCTTCACCTGAGGGCTGAGCTCTGGGGAGCAGCCAGGCAGAGGGGACAGCCTGAGTGTTGTGGGTAACCTGCAGCCTCCAGCTGTCACAAACACCACTTGTGAGGCTGATAACTGCAGGGCAAGGCTGTTGACATGCTGACATCCATCTCCAAAAGCATTCTCAATATCCAGCAAAGAGATGGCATTGCCCCTGTCCTGAAAAGATGAGCACCTGCAGTCCAGTTGTGGCTCAGTGAGCAAAGGTCCCCAGCTCTGCTGGAAGAGGCTTTTGGTGTCTGACTGCTCACAACTACAAAGAAAAACCCACACACAGATCCTGGTTTGGGCATTTTTCAGCAAGCTATGGTTTATTCCTTTATAACTGTGCAACAGTCTGACTGAGGAGAGCAAGCACCATTGGCAAAGCATGGACTGAATTTAATCCTTAAGCCTGTTGATCATTTGTTTGTTTGTAACTCACTAACTCTGACTAATTTGCTTAGAGCTGTAGCAGAGTTAGGTTATAAATGTTGGATTGCATAGTGGGAATGATTTTGGATGCCTGAATGGCCTAATTGTGGAGCTGAGCAGTGAGCTCTGAAAAGCTAATTGCCAAAGGAGGTCCTGCTCTCTCCCACCTGGCTCCTGATCAAGCCAGAAGTTTTCCAAGCAGCCAGTGAAGCTGTTCCAGCTCCATGCACTTGTAGACAGGGGACATGGGAGAGGCTGAGAGGTAAAATGCCTGCAAGGCCTAAGAGATTTAGGAGAAGGAAGCACCTTCTCAAGGCAGGTATCTGACATTGCAGAGCTATTAATAGAGTGTTCAGTCAAGCTTTGTTGGGCCTTGTTTTGATCTTCCCTTTGAATGTGCAAGCTCAATTACATCCTGAGACAGCCGTTAGGAAAACAAAAAATCAGGAAAACTGCTTTTGCTTTCATCTTTTGCTTGGGAAGGCTTCCTTTGACACATGGTGCTCCTGTGCCATGTGCTGGCGTTCCCTTCTCAGAGAGGCACGCTGCTCCTTGGCCTCCTGCCACCATCTGTGTGTGCAAATGATGCAGGGTGAGTCTTGCTATTGAGATCTTAGAGAATATTTGCCCTTGGCTTGTTGATACATAGCAGAGTACATGTAGAAGCAAAAGATAGTGGAGTGTTACTCTTTGTATGCCTCGTTTTTTCATCTTGAACAGAGAGGGCTTTTCTCTCTTCACTTTGCCTGGATGGGGACTACGTTTTACCAGGTGAAGGGGCTGGATGTTCACAAGAACAGCCTTTGTGAGTGGTCTGGGACATGCCATTTCTATCCATGTTCTCTGCTAGCCTCTTTCATGAAACACTTTTCCTTTCTAGGTTTCAAATCTACATGAGAAACTTGCAAGAGTCTCCTCCCAGTCCAGCATAGATGAATCCTCCATGCAGAAAAACCCTTCCCTTCCTAAACAAGGGCACTTTGATGCAGAACTGTCTGTCTCCCCCAAAAGGAACAGTCTTTCAAGGACACACAAAGAGAAAAGCACTTTCCATTTGCTTAGCACAAACCAGACTAACAAGGCAGCTGAGGAACAGACCCAGATGCCTACTCGCCTCTTCAGTTTAGCCAAACCAAAGGAGAAGAAGGAAAAGAAGAAAAAGAGCAGGGGACATCGCTCCCAACAGTCTGGTGAGTGTGAGGGGAGCTCACAGGTGTTTTTTGAGGGTTGGTAAGATGACTGTTTTCCTTCAGGCAGCAAACTTGTGGAAGCCACAAAATCTGGCTTTAAATGAGGATGGTGACACAGGGATGGGGAAAAGCAGCTGTGCTGAGCAGACATCCCAGATTGAAGTGACCTTCCGTGGGCTTTTCTGCCTGTTCTGCAGCCCTCAGGGTTGTCAGAGGGACACACATTCTTCTCATTGTTTCTTCCCATCCCATCCTGAGCAGCCTCCATGGGCTGGATTCTCTGCTTCAAGGAGGAAAATGTTCTGCTTCAGTGTCAGTGCTTTCAGAAGGAGCTGCTGTTGCAGCTCCTGAGGCATTGATGTCTGCTTTAGCTCTGTGACAGTTGGAAGTGATACCCACAAGCCTTCTGGTGGCCTCTCCCTTCCCCTCAAGCTGGTCTGTTTTTTCTCTTGATCTGAAACAAAAACATACAGGGTTTTTCTTGTCTGGTAGTTTTGCATCCCCTTAGGACTCAGAGCTGCACCTCAAACCTCTGACCCACATGAAATTTGATCACATGCCCTCGGATGACCGGTTTCATTCATGCTAGCTCACTGATGTTTTCCAGCTTGTGCACAGAAAATCTCACCCAATACAAGATGTAATTTCATGGTAGCTCATCAGGGAACTGAACATCTTTTAAGGGGCCCAGTGGATTTGGCAGACAGTGGGGTTTCTGTGCACATGGAGCCCCGCTCTGCCTGCTGTGTTCCTGTGTTCCCATAGTGATTCCCACATGATGTTTTTTGGTGCTGCAGATTCTCACTCGTCAGAAGCACCTCCAGAGGGTGAGGAGATCTTCTGCTGAGCATGGACTGTTCCAGTGGTCACTCGTGGCATTGGCACCGTGGACACCTCCCTGCCTGTGACACAGCACGTGGCTGGTGCCTGCTCTGGACAAGCATCTGGAGGTTTTAAATAAAACATGTTCTGAAGTCTGCTAAGTGGTGGATAAGGGCCTCTCTCCTGTGGTTTTAGGTGAATTCTCCCTGCAGAGGCTGTGCCTGCACAGCACACAGGACCCTTTCCCTGTGCAAACCTGGTGTCAAATGGATTGGGATAGATGTTGTCTGTCTCACTGCTAAAGGATGAGAGAACATAGCCTTAAGGGGTCTGTGCCTTCCAATTCCCCTTTTCTGGGGAAAAGAACCAAAACCAAGCATTTAGAAAAGATTAGGACTCACAAATGGTGCACACTGGCATATATAGATACGCTGTATATATACATATATGTATCTATGTATCCACTGGGATATGCTTACAGTCCCTACAGCTGAGGTCCACCCCTGGGGATAGGTGATACCTGAGGACTTTCTGGGAGTGTGTAGATATTAAATATCTTGCCCTTACTGCTCTGACTGTAACACAGTGACCTGCACACCCCTTTTGTGCTCGTGGGATAGGGGCTGTTTGGTTTCAGAAGGGTACCTTACACCAGGAAGCAGTAACAGCATTCAGAAGCAACAACTCAGAGGACAAAAAATTAAAATTTAAAATAAATCTGAATTAATTCTGTGGGCCAGAGGAATCAAACATCAAACTTTTTCCACAGTCAAGCAGAACATTACTGGGTATATTTAATATGGCACCGAAAAGAGAATTTTGGTAGGCTGGTAAGGCAGTCCCAGGGAGCCAGAACAAACTGTTCAAATGGAAACAACAGTAAGCAACACTTTTTTTAAACAATCTCTTTGAGCTCCAGCTCACTCCCTCCCATCCCCAAAGTAAAGATTATGTTTTTGTTGGAATAGAGCTCTCCATTTGACATTACAAGCCTAATGACTGACTGGGGGGGGGTGGCTGAAAATCTGCTTTAAGGGATCTTTGTTCTGTTCTTTGAGTTTTTCTTAGCCTGCTTTTTGTGCTACCATTGGGCTTCTGTTTCTCTGGATTTTCTCACCTGCCCTGATAGTTTCTGAGGCAGAGTGAGAGCAGCAGTGTCCGAGCAGGTCAGCGAGACATCGCGGGGCAGGCTCCGAGGAGATGGCTCCTGTCCCTGTGGCTGTGCAATACCAGGCACTTAGGAACCATTTCTGGGGAGAAAAAGGTTCTGTGAGGGGAGAAAAAACCCCCTGTGAGCCAGGTCTGGAGTTCAGTGTGGCGTGTCCCCATGATGCAGAACAGGAAGGTCCAAGGGCAGCTGTTGCTGTGCCAGCTGTGGGGTGTCTGTAGAGCTGTGGAATACAGGGATGTGTTCAGTGGGGGAGGAGAACTGCAAAGGGAGGCTTTTCTCAAAAATCACCTTTCTTCCAAACCCTGTCAGGAGAATTACCCGAGTGGATTTGTAAATGGTTATCAACTTCAAAATAGATCAAAGTTTTGCTCGAGAGTTTGAAGCTGTCAGGTGCATTTCCTTTCCTACCAGTTTTTTTCTTTGAAATAACAAATAATTTCTCTTCTTGTACTATTGTTTGATTCCAGTTTGCTCTCAGGCCTGTCACAAGCTGGTGACACACAGAAGTTCTCAGAGTTAGTGCTGATGAGTATCAGCAGCATTGATGGTGAGGTGGATGCTTAGGCTGGGCTGTCTTGGTGCAGGAACCCTGCTTGCTTTGGAAGCTCTCTATACTATTAAAAGTCAGAAGAAAAAGAGAAAAAAAAAGAAAGGAAAAAGGGTTGAGATTTATTTTTGGTTTCTTTTTAATATTATTTGGTGCTTGTTCTTAACTGCAAGCAGGGCTTGCAAAAATATTTATCTTTCATTTTATCTGAAAGAATTTTTTAAAAAATGTTTACTTAGTTTTATTTTTTTATTTCTTTTTACTTTTGCTTTTGTTGGGGGAATAGTTTGAGGGTTTTTTTTTCTCTTCCCCCCTTCATTTTTTTTGTTTATTTGTTTTGTTTTCTTACCAAAAGATTGGTAAACCAAATGTTCTTATCTCCCTGTTTCCTACAAACCACGGGGTTGAGCAGTGCTGCTTTGCAGCTCATTCCATGGCCTAAGTCACACAATTTCAGCTGAGAGCTTTCTTCAAGGCAGAGCATCTTCAGGCCAAAAAAAGTCTGGAAAAAGACACAGTGACTTCAGACAAGGCTCCTCCTATAAATTAGTGTCCTTATTTAAACATTTTGGTTAGGTTTTCTCATTCCTTTTGGAGGCAAAGGAGAAAGCAAAGCATGGAGTGCCCGGCAGTGATGGAGGGTACAGTTGCTCTCCTGGACCCGGGGGGAGCTGAAGGAGGCATGTGCTGGTGGTGTGGTGTTACCTTTGTCATAAGAAAACCACCAACTTCAGCAAGTAACTTCTGCCCTGCTGTTTATGCATCTGCAAACACGAATGTGCCAAGCTGAAACTTTTGGAAACCAAAGCAGTGTGTGGCTCCTTTACTGTTGTGTGAACAGAATCAGGGCACTGGTACATCTGTGTTCCCCTCAGTCTGGAACAGCCTTTGCCACTATGAACTTTTCAATTTATCCCACTGTCTTTTCCTCAGTCCCAGCACATGCCATATTCACAACATAGCAACATCTCCTGGCTCTGAGAAGGGCACCAAAAGGAAGATGTGTGACCGAGGGCAGCAGGATTGAGTCTGCCTGGCTTCACCATCTCTCATGACCTGTGCAAATCAAAAAGAGCATTCAGTGCCTGAAGTGCAAATGCTGTTGACTAAGTCATCTCCCAAGGTCCCTGTGGTTCCTTGACAAAAACCACAGGTATGAGTCAGAAATACACTGACCAGAGATCCTGTGTATCAAAACTGTGTCTTAAATTCTGGTGGACAGACATTTGTCCCTGGAGGATGTCTGTTACTGTATGATTCACTTTTTTGGAATGAAGCCTTTCCTCCCACACTGCTTCCTCCTTCTTTCACCTTTAGGAAGGTAAGGGCTTGTTTTTATCTCTTTAGCCTTTTATTTTTCCCATCTCAGGTTTTCTTTGGAAAGGCTTGGCATGGGTTCCTAGAGTCAGATTTCTGCTCTGATCTCTGAAGCTTGTCTAGTGTTGTCTGCTAGAGTATGGTCCCAGCTTGACAGCACCAAAGCCTTTCCTCTTCCTGGCCTTAAAATTGCATTTGCTCCAGTTCCATGCCTGGCATCCATCCTTGTTGAAACCATGTTATTTCTTCAGCCCAGCCTGTTGCTAGTTCCAAGAGCCTTGATCCCATTTGGAGCACCCAAACCAGCCTGTTTGCATTGGGCTCCTGGGACTCAGAGCAGGTTCAGAAACATCTCTTTGAAGCCCATATTGTTGGAGAAGAGAATCCTGCGAGGACTCTCGGAGCTGTTTGTGCTGGTGCTTCATGGAGGGCAGAAAATCACATTTGATTTTCTTGGCCTGGTCTTTGCCACTGCCCAGCAGGAGGTGTTTCACTGTCCAGGGAAAGTGAGAGTGTGGGCTCAGACAAGTACAGAAGTGGCCAGTATTAGCTGGAGGTGCCAGAATACCCAGCAGCAGAGTAGCAAAGGGTGGGAGACTCAATGGGGTTTTGTGGGCTTGGCTTTAGATTCTTTTAAATTAAGTGGTCATCTCAACATGTAACTTGATGTTAGTTTGATGTCATAAAGCACTTTAAATGGAACTGGTCTTGCCCCTTTTAATTATGGTTATTTGGAGACAATCAGTTTTGCCATTGCTTCCTGCACTTCCCAGCAAAATCAGAGCTTCAAGTAGGTGTGCTCCTGGCTTGGTTTGGCTTTTCCCTGAGAGTGGAGAAAGGGCCAAGCTTTTTGTATTGTTCTTAGACCAAAGTGGGTGCAAACCTGACTACAGTCCCACTGCAGATAGGTTAAGTGGCAGGAGAGGAGAACTGGCTTCTCAGGTACATCCCCCAGGAGAGCCCATGTCAGCTTCACCATCACCTTCCTCACAGCAGCTAGGGAAGCAGCCCTGCCTGTGGTTTTCCCTCCATCTCCTTTTCCCTGGAGAAACTCAGAGTGAAGGAGATGTGAGGGGATGTATCCAAATAAATCAGGCCCTTTCCATGCACCAAGGTATTTACTGCCAGGCCACTGGGACATCTCCTGGTGCCCTCCCTGGGACAGGAGCTGTCATCCCCACTGAGGGTGGACTCTTCCTGCTGGAGGTGTGCTGACAGCACAGTAATGCCATCAGCTTGTGTGGATTTGCATCCAGAGTCTGATCACCACTGCACCTTCCTTAAGTCCCTAGGATATCTCACAGCTGTTGCTGTAACACCCAGTTCCAGTCCTTCCATGTGCCACCTAGTCAGAAGAGGTTCTTCAGGTGCCAAATCCCAAGGAAGCTGTCTAGGATATCTGTGGCATGGAGCAAGGGAGGACTGGGCAGGGGACACAGGAGAGTATCTGCTAAAATCCCACAAAACATTCCTTGTTAACCAGAACTCTGGAAATTATTTTGCCTGCTGGCCAGGTTTGGGAACTTACCATGATTTAGGGCACCCTTTTAAATAAAAAACCTCCCCTGCTGCTCGTAACTCTTGCTTCATTTCTCAGAAGAGGCAGCAATCCACCATTCTTCATTGGTGATAAAGCTAATTTTTAAATATAGGCGAACTGAACTGGCCAAATCTCCTATACCTTGTGCTCTTCAGTCATGAGAAGTGTAACACCAGCTCGCTTCACACCTGCATTTCCAGGGCTCTGTGCCCTTTCCTTCCACATGCATTTCACTGACACTGATGCTTTGCACAAGTATAATTCAGCTTCCATTGCTTGGGGGGAGGGGGGAACAGGATAACATTCACTGCTTTGCATACAGCTACGAGCTTTGTATGTATTTAAGCTGTCTGTAGGTATCCATCCTTTCCATGCTTACTATTTTCTTTATCAATATTAAACACTGACTCAAAAAAAAAAATGAAATAAAAATCTATGTCCGGTTCAGTTCGCCTATGGTTAAAGTTTAGCCTGGTGTTTATTTTGTACTAATATGGAATGCACTTGAGTAATTCTCAGAACATTGAGGTGTATTATAATAACCTGATATACCTCTGCTTTTGGTTTGTTTCTTATTAAAAAAAAAAAAAAGGAAAAAAAAAGCTTTGCATTTTCATGTTGAACCCATAAAGAAAAAAAAGTTGGGAAAAAAAAGATTTTTAAAGAAGAGGGTAAAACCTAATTGCTGTATGTTAATTTGTAATTATGTAAAAAGTGAGCAGGTTATCGACTGTAAAATTCTTCAGTTTTTCTGTAACTTGCCAGAAACCATTAGGTTTTGTAACAAGCTTTTATTTATCTTCCTTTTTAGTTATCAGTATCAACCTCTTGTAAAGTCATTCTTCCTCTAAATAAATTTGATTTTAAGTCTGAGTTTTCTGCCTGATTTATTCCCACACCTTTGGTATTTTTGCTGATGACTTTTTTGCACCAAGGCTGAATGAGGAGCCCTAACCTCAACCTGTAATCAAATGTTTGCATTGCCTTTATCAGTTCCATTCCTGTTTGAACCCACTGGACTCTTTATTTTTCTCCACTTACAAGATTTGCATTTTACTGAAGGACAGATGTCCATGTGATAGTCCTTGGATTTTTCTCCCCCCTGGCCCTAAGGGCTTTTAATCCTTGTACAAGAAGGGGAAGTGTCCCAGCTGTTCTCTCTGCCTCTTCAGCCCTGTGATGAGAATAATGGGAGTCTGGGGGCTGCATGTGCTGGCTGATGGCACAGAGTTCCTGTCAGCTCCTAACACAGCTCCGTGTCTGACAAATCCTAGACACAGCTTCTTGGTTCTTTTGGCTTGGAGAACCAGAGATGCTGCATCTCATCTCATGCCTGCACGGGACAGGTCCATGATGCTGTGTGGCTTAGGTGTTCCCACATCGCTGGCAAGAAGAGACCCATCAGAAATGCTGTACCCAACATCCAGGTCTCCCCTGGGGAGAGGAGGGTGCTGAGGCACTGGAACCCTCATTCCTGAAGCGTTCAAGGCCAGGTCAGACACAGCTTGGAGCAACCTCCTCTAGTGGAAAATTCCTTGCCTGTGGCAGGGATGGTGGAAAAAGGATCTTTAAGGTCCCTTCCAATCCAAACTATTTTGTGATTCCATGATAAGGTACATGGTGTTCCCAGTGCCTGCAGGCATCAGTCCAGGCAGGAGAGAGTGCCAGGAGTACAGAGCCATGACGATGAGAAGTCACGGAGGACCACAATGACTGGGGTTTCCCCACAACCATTTTCAGCTGGATCATAGAAGTGATCACTGCTGGCCCTGTACTGTCAGCCCTGTACAGGACTCCAGCATCCTCTCCCTAGACAGAAGAAGCAGGAGACCTGCACCCTTCACCCCCTGTGTATTGATTTTGAGGCAGAGGAATTGCTTCATTTCCATTTGTTATTCCACTTGTCTGCAAAGGTACGATTGGGAAGGAGAAAGGACTGCTTGAGGAGAATCAGATATGTATTCATAGAATCAGAATATCCTGAGTTGGAAGGGACCCACAATGAGCATCAGCTCCTGACCTGGCACAAGACAGCCCCGAGAATCGAGTATTGATCAAAGCTTTGGGCTGTCAGCTGCTTGGGGTGTTGTGTTGTTCCTCAGCAGGCTTCAGGGAATGCCAGCCCCCGTTAGGCAGCAGTGCACTCGCTGCCTGGTATTTTCCCCTCCTCTCAGCTGTGTTGCACATGCTGTTCTGAGAGCCTGAGTCACGTCAATGTACCTGCACCTACACCCTGTCACGCAGCACTTGCTCCAAGACAGGCAACCCCTGGGTGTGAGACAGGAGATGAAAGAGTTGGTTTATCTCGACGGCTGCTCAGTAGTCCTGGTTTTATTTGCATTCCCAGGCATC